CAAAAGGGAGTTCCCTAGTAGTTACTGGTATCCCTATAGCATGCTACTGGAAAAGGAATTGACGCAGTACAGATTAAAATCAATTGAATCCCTGAAGACCCTTGATGAGAACTTTTCGTGGTTCCACTACCTCCAGGTGGCAGATAGCTTCAAGGAGGATAACAAAAATGGCTTTGCCCCAGTAGAGTCCTTTTGGGACACAATTTTGGGAAAAGAGAGGAAAGTGATAAAACTCCTCTACCAAAAAATACGGGAATGGGGGACGGAAAAGGATCTTATAAAAGAGAACATGATCTCTTGGGCAAGAGATCTGGGACATTCTATTTTGCTGCAGGATTGGGAAAAAATTTGGAAAGTGAAAATTAAATTTGCCAAATCAATAAACATTACTGAGAGCTGGTATAAGATGTTTACACGCTGGTATCTAACACCTCAAAGGCTGGCGCTGTATTATAAGGGAGTCAACAATATCTGTTGGAAATGTGGCACTAAAGTGGGAACATATCTTCATACCTGGTGGCTGTGCAAAAAAGCAAAGATCTTTTGGAAGGAAATACACCTACAAGTTCAGGGTATCTTAAAGACTAAGTTTGAGCTAAAGGCAGATTATTATCTTCTGCATCTACTAGATTTCGAATTGGAAAGAAATAAGGAAATGTTATTATATCATCTCTCGGCAGCGGCAAGATCAGTATTTGCAAGTAAATGGAAAGCAAAGGATCAGCCCCCCATGGAGGCTTGGTTAATGAAGATAAGGGACTACATGGAACTGGATTCACTATCGAATATGGTATATGATGTGGAAAAAACAAAAAACAAAATAGATTGGCAACCACTTAGAAAATTCTTTAAAGAAAGGATAAACATAAAGCTATAAAAAGTGAATGTTGACGAATGCTATTAAAAGAGAAAAAAAAACTTAATGAGAAGAAATAAGTGTAAATTACCTCGTGGAAGGTTGGGAAGTCCAGGGAATGAATGAATGTGTGTAGTTCCCCTTCCCTTACCCCCTCCCCCCTAATATAACCTCACCCCCTTCCCCTCTGTTCCACCCCTCTCCCCTTACCCTGAATGAATGAACAATAAAAGCAGGAAGTGGTAGAGTTTAGAGTTGATTTTATTGTGAAAGATAATACTGTAAATAATCTGTAAAGAAATATGTGGTAATCAACTAATGTTATCAATATGTCTGAATGATTGTATGTTTATAAACACGAAAACTAATAAAAATAAAAAAAATAGAAATGGTAGTTTCCTTTCATTTTCTTTTTCCCTGGTGAATTGGATGTTTGGGTGGATGCTGTTGAGGTGGTCCAAGAACTTGTTGAGTTCTTCTCCATGGCTCCAAATGGTGAAGCTGTCTTGCACATATCAGAACCATATAGTGGGCATTTTGTTGCTGTTTCCAGGGCTTGCATTTCAAAGTGTTCTATGTAGAAATTTGCAATGACAAGCAAAAGTACCTTGAATTGCAGCATTAGCAGTTATTCAGTCACTTCTGGAGTTGGTTGCACCTCTTTCATGGTGTTGCCCTGACACTCTTTTACAGTGGAGGAAATGGAGGGAGACACACTCGATTCATCTAGATCAAGCCTGGGCAAACTTTGGCCCTCTGGGTGTTTTGGACTTTAACTCCCACAATTCCTAACAACCAGATCTTCCTGGTATTAATTTGCATTTTGAAGCAAAGAAATGTGAAAAGACAGCAGAAATTGTACTTTGTACTTAGTGCACCATCAGTCATACAAGCTATTTTATTTTTCTAGCAATCCGAATGGAAGATTGGAAAGAAATGGAGTGCTTGACTGTACTTTGTTTCTGGGACACATGCATAGCTCTCCTTTTTGTGTGTTGACTCACTTTCATAGAGTTTCAAAGCCTGTTGCAATTTGAGTGGCTCATGAATTGCTCTGAGCACAAATATTATTGTATTTAGAGTTAGGGTGTTTAATTGTATACCCTGCTTTTTCCTTCCACAGGGAGACTCAAAGCAGCTTATGGTACATTAAAAGTATGTCCATACAACTCATAATCTCCAAAAGAGCAAGCATGCTTTAGTGTCAATGCACACTTTTGAGCATGACAGGGGATCATGATACATAACTTAGTTTTCAGACTTTTCAAGTCTGAAACCTGTTTTTTTCAATCTGAATGTGATGTTTGTCTTCTCACAAAGCAGGAACTCCAGCTACATTTCCAAATCCTTGTATGAAACAGACCTACTGCCTGCTATTTTGTGTCATGAGGCTTTTGCTGCTCAGTGCCCGTCCAAACCACAAATTGGGAGCTCATCATATCATTGCATGCTCCACCCATGACAAGCACTCTTTCCCTAGCCCTTGGGAGAGAAGTAATCACCATTAGTTTTTACCCTGATACACTATTTTTCTATGGATGGGAGGTGTATGTGTTTTAAAAGCATTTTAAAGACAGTTCCATCTTGTCTCCTATGCTTTACTAATAATATAATATAATACATATAATATTATAAATACAATATAATACTAATACTAATAATACAATATAATAATTATATATTTTATATTACATGTAATATTACTAATAATATTACAACATAATGCTGTAGTACAATATAGTAATATATAATACTGATATTGTACTATGCTAATAATATAATATATTGTGTGTGTGTATGTGTGTGTATATATAGATATAGATATAGATATAGATATAGATATAGATATAGATATAGATATTGTAAGACACTCTGAATCCCCTTCAGGATGAAAAGGCCACCATATAAATGTTATAAATAAATAAATATTAAAAGCAGTTGAGCTAGAATAAAAATTGCAATACGTTTGAGGAACCCCTGATAAATAAACACTACGTAACATGCTGTTTCCTAATTAGTTCTATCATAAAAATAAGGAAAAAAACTTTAAATTGCAAAAATTTTGTTCTTGTAGGAGAGACATCCTGCAGTCCATTATATTGTATTGTATTATAATTAATTATTATATCATATCATATTACTAGCTTGGGCACCCGGGTTATTTGAAAAAGTCATTTTTAATTTATAAAATGCATAAGGTTGTGTGTGAACTACAACTCACATCATGCCAGGTTAACCTCTGAAACTCCATTAGTGGTTAAAGTTTGTCATGTTGGGCAAGTTTGCTCTCAAGAAGCATCATCGGTGGGGTCCATGTGGTCTCTGATTGCAGGATAAACTACAGCTCCCACTATGGTGAGTTAGTCACCTCAAACCACTCCAGTAAGTTCAGTTGGTCAAGGGGGTTCTGTGTGTCAAGTTTAGTCCTGGTCTATTGTCGGTGGTGGTCAAAGTGTTTCTGGATGTAGGTGAACTACAACTTCCAGAAATGAAGGCCAGTTCCCCTCAAACATCTCCAGTATGTTCAGTTGGTGATGGGGGTTCTGTGTGCCAAGTTTGATTCAGGTTCCATCATTGGTAGGGGTCCCAGTTTCTTTGGTTGTAGGTGAACTACAACTCACTAAACTCAAGGTCAATCCCTCCCAAACCCCTCAAGTAATCAAATTTGGGCTTATCAGGTATGCGTGCCAAGTTTGGTCCAGATCCATGGGCTTTTGGGTCCACAGTGCTCGCTGGATGTAGGTGAATTATAATTCCTATAAATCCACCCAAAGACTGCTAGTATTTTTTGTTGGTCATGAGGTTTCTGTACGCCAAGTTAGTTGCAGGTCCATCAATGGGGTTCAGAGTGCTCTTTGATTGCAGGTGAACTATAAATCCCAGTACCTACAATCCTATAAATCAAGATGAATTGCTCCCAAGCGTCTCCAGTATTTTGCCTTGGTCATGGGGGTTCTGTGTGCCAAATGTGGCCCAAGACCATTGTCAGCGGGGGTCACAGTGCTCTGTCTAGATGCAGGATGAACTACAACTTCCATCATGTTGAATCAGGCCATAAATCCCTCCAGTATGAGCAGTTGCTGATCAATTCCTCTGTTTGCTGTGTGCCATAGAAAACTATAGGAAAGGGTTGTGGGAGAGGTAGTGGCCAAATTCCACACCAATTGAGAGATTAAGAAACACTGGAATGTCTATGGTGGAGGAAACACATAAAATCTAGGACGAAATTGTCCCCATATGAAAGCCTTCACTTGGGTAGTGGGCAGTATGGTGTTTGTGGACGACATTGACAGGGCTCTTGGACATGTTTAAGGCGCTCACTATAACCTGTAATGTCATTGGAGGGAGAGCCATTGGTGTCTCCTGAGTAGTGGGAGCTATAGCTGTTTGTGGAGGCAGGAGCAAGACACCCAGGCACACACATACATACATATTTTCACTTTTATTATGAGTAGATAGATAGAGATATACCTGTCTATAAAAGTATTATGCTTATATCTGAAGAAGTGGGCTGGAGTCTGTGAAAGCTTATCTGAAGTATATCAGTTAGTATCCAATGGACTGCTATCCTTTTCCCTTCCCTTTCACTTTTTTTTTCATGACGAAACAGATTGGTACGGCTATCTCTTTGACATCAATACTTTTTAATGTTCAACTGATATCGACTTTACTCAGCTTAATGGTGTGTTGACCTACTGTTCCCATTCCCACAGTAAGGCATAGGAATGGCATACACAGCCAATTGTAAGCATGAATTTTAAACTCGTGTCCTGTGTTTCAATCTCTGTCCTGGGTATTTAATATGTATCTTTTCTAGAACTACATTTTAATGTGTGTGTTTATAGAATTTTTGAAATGTTTGTGTATTTTGACTTCTCTATGACCCGTCTCGAGCCAGGAGGAGAGGCAGGTAAAAAATAAAATTGTTGTTGTTGTTGCTGCTGCTGCTGTTATTCCCGCACACCAGGAGGTCAGAAAAATAACAACAAAAACAGCAGCAACAACAACAACAACAACAATTTTTATTTCTTGGAGTAAGTTGATCTAGGTGATGAGTGTAAATTCTGAATTTTCCAATGCAATATCTTTCCTATTTTGTTTTTCGTTGTGATTACTTATTCATATGTTGCTTCTTCTTTCACAGTATATAAAATTCACTTCTTACATTCGTCATCACATCTTTCTCTCAACTGTGGATTCATAGTGCCTTCAACCTCCAGTTGGTCCTGATCAAGAAATGCAATTATCGAGCTGAGTTTTTGCCTGCTGTCATATCCTACATTCTCGTGTCTCTCCTTGCTTGGATCTTTGCAGAAAGTGGCAACGAACCTGCAGATCTCCAGAACGCTTGCAACCTTTATGGTCATGAGGCCTAGATTTTTAATTGTGTCAGTGTTTCTGTGCCTCTTGCTACATGAGGTGGGTTCCCAGGACCATATTGTGACCCCAAAGGGGAGAGTACACAGCCTCCTGATCAATGAGGTCAATTCGGATAATCCAGGGGAGGACACAGTTGAGTACTTGGAACTGTATCACATCAGCGGCCAGCGAGTTCCTTTGGACGGCTACGCCTTGGTCTTCTACAACGGCAATGGCAACACAGCTTACAACGTGAAAGATCTGAGGGGCATTTTCACCAATGACCAAGGTTTCCTTCTCCTCGGATCTGCGGCAGTGGTCCCAAAGCCGAGAGTCATCCTGCCAAAGAACTCTATCCAGAATGGGCCCGACGCGATTGCTCTCTATTTTGGGAGAAGAGACCTTCATAACGGCATGGAGGTTACCAGTGAAGGGCTGGTGGACGCTTTGGTGCACAAGTCTAAAAAGAGCGACAGAGCAGACGAGTTGGTCTCAGTTTTGACCCCGGGAGTGGAGCCCTTCCTGGAGGACCCTCTTTTCCGGACTGCAGATGAATCCCTGGAGAGGTGCCAAGGGGCCGATGCCCAGTGGTTCTTCCAAGTGTCTGTGCCTACCCCCGGCTTGGATAATCACTGCATCCCCTTTGCCCAGCTCAATGCATCCTTTCTAGTGATCAATGAGGTCAACATTGCATTTGCTGAAGGAAGTTTTGGGTTTGTGGAGCTGCAGGGCCCCCCTTCCACTGTGGTGAAAGACGTGGTGCTGGTTATGATTGATGGGAGGAACCAAGAAACTTCCTTTGTCTGGGAGGTCCACGGCAAAACATCCCCTGATGGGCTGTTGCTTCTTGGTTCAGACCAAACAGGCATTCCAGGTAGGATTTCTGTTCCTGGATACATAATACAGGCAGTCCCCAAGTTGCAAAAAAAGATTGGTCCTGTAGGTGTATTCTTAAGTTGAATTTGTTTGTAAGTCGGAACAGGGATATTTTCATATATGTGTGTATGTTTTGGATAGCATAGAGAAGGGTGAACACCTCTGTGGAGTTTCCTTTGCTGGCTGTACCCCATTCAGAAGATGTCACCTCACTTTCTGTCCTTGTGATAATTTGGAAAATGTGGCTTGTTGTGGAAACAAGAATTGGCGGTGTCTATGGATAATGCCGGCTCTTCAGCTTAGAAATGAAGATGAGCACCAACCCTCAGAGTTGGACACGACTGGACTTAATGTCAGCCAGCCTTCCAGTGACAGTAATCTAAGGTGCCCTAGTCATCCTCCTCCCCATATGCCAAAGTGCAAAGATGCATTTTAAGGAATTTTCTAAAGGATAGGAGGATGGGGGCTGGTATCTTATGTATTCATTTGTTACATTAAGTAGAATAACAAGTATTTTACCTATCACCAATTAGGAGCTTTATATACAATATAGAGAAAACTTAATGTTATAAATATTATTTGGGGATTTATGCTCTTTGGCTGAGCTGATCCAGCAGAAGGTCTACTAAGGGCAGATTTTGTTTGTTTGTTTGTTTTGTGTCAGGAGCAACTTGAGGAACTGCAAGTCGCTTCCGGTGTGAGAGACTTGGCCGTCTGCAATGACGTTGCCCATGGGACACTCAGATGTTTTGTTGTTTTATCATCCTTGTAGGAGGCTTCTCTCATGTCCCCACATAGGGAGCTGGAGTTGATAGAGGGAGCTCATCTGCACTCTCCCCGTATTTGAACCTCCGACCTGTCGGTCTTCAATCCTGCTGGCACAAGGGTTTAACCCACTGTGCCATCCGGGACTCCTACTAAGAACAGTGATTGATTTCCTACGCTTGGTGCAAATTATTTCAGTATTACCTTGAGCAAGACGATTTCAAAGCAACTATTATGCAAGAAGCGGAGGTTGCTTCAGCTGATTGTAAGAAGGAGGAAGTGTTGCTGAATTGTTGGAGAACAGAGGTGTGATGCTGCTTTATTTCTGTGGTGCTGAGTCAGATGCCATGGCCCGTCTTATTCATTTCTGTACTCAACTAGGAGTGAGGGAACCATCCTGTGGTTTACCTCAAGCAGGGAAATGTGTCATTTCTGTTTTTGCAATCCATCCTTCCTTCTTTTGCATTGCTTGCTTCAGCTCTTCTTCCTTTATGAAGGCAGCTAATAAGTGGGTTTAAAAGGAAATCTGAATGTTGGATGGAATGACCAGCGGTTTAAAAAGCCAATAAGATTTTGGACTGCATCAAAAGGAGCCCAGTGTCTAGATTTAATTTAATTCTCCACAATGATCCATTTCACTTTTTGCTGGAACAAATTATTGTAAAATGGTGGGAGGCTCGTGGGATGTGTGGTAACAAAGCCTGGGGTTCCCTGTTGAAAATGAAGAAGCATCCACACTTCTATATAAAGCCATTGGGGACAAAGGATATCATCCTGTGGTGCATGCCTCCTGCCGCGTTTTCTTAGATCTAGGAAACACAAGGCATTTTACTTCCTGCCTCCAAAGAGAAAGCCACTTTTCCCTTCTTACCAAAAGTGTTCGTTGCTGTATTGCCTATTATTGTTGTTGTTGTTGTTGACACAAAAACACAGCATTATTTTACTGACACAAAAACACATTATGACACAGCAAACGAGATATATATAATGGATTTCGTATCATAAAATCACAAGTCGAACACTTCCCAAGCATTTAGGAATGTGTGATGTATTTTTGAATGATGCGCGCAGATCCAAGTAAAGTGGCCTTTTGCAGTTGACAGATCGTGATTTTGTCAATGTTTATTGTTTCCAAATGCCGGCTGAGATCTTTTGGCACAGCACCCAGTGAGCCCACTACCACTGGGACCACCTGTACTGAGTCTTTGGAGTTATTATTTATTTATTTATTTATAATTCTTTATATTATTATTATTTATACTCCGCTTTATTTCTATGGCCAGTGTAGACTCTGTGGTCCATGTAGACTCATATAATGCAATTGAACTGGATTATATCAGTCAACACTTCCACATAATCCAGTTCAATCTGCATTATAATGTCAGTGTAGATGGGGTCTCAGTCTATCCATCTGGAATATGGGTGTCCTCTTTTCTTACTGCCAGCTGCCTTACCCATGTTTTCCCCAAAATAGGATTTATGCATTTAATTGTATTTATTGTATTGTATTGTATTGTATTGAAACTGCATTTTTAACCTAGCAGACATGATACTGTTTAATTGTTTTTCATTTTTGTATTCGCATTGTTTTAAATTCTTCAAAGTGTGTGACTGTTAGCCAGGTGGGGTATAAATAAAGTAAGTAAGTAAATAAATACACATTGTAACATGATTTTTGTTCCTGGGTTATGAATGTCATTTCCTAATTGGTTCTATCATAAAAACATGGCAAAAGTTTGTTCAACTGCAAAAACTTTGTGCGGGAGGGACATCATCCCGCTATAGCACATTTTGCTCTAGTTTTTCAATGAATATCTCATCAAGTCGCAATCAATTGCAACCTAGTTTGTGACAGCCACATAAACAAAGTTTCTGGAGTAGAACAACTACTTTCAAAGTAAGGACTGTACAATTAAACAGGAAATAACACTTTCAAACCAGGAACAGAACATATTTAAATGTTGTTCATAGTGTAATACCTCATAGGTTTGACTAAACATACAGTAAACACGATTTATAGTACAAATGTTTAAAAACAATTGAGTAGCCACTTGATATTATAAAAATACAATACAAAATAAAATAGACTACAGTGTTCAGCAATACAGTTTTGGGTGTAGATGCTGAACAGAGTTTGGAGAAGTTGCTCCTTTGGGATCGACCTTCCAGAATCCCTCAGGAAGCAGATGATTCAAAATAGCTCTGATGCAGGTAGTGTCTTTATCATGACATGACAATTTCTTAAAAGTCTGTGTGAAATCCTTTTACATGTATTTCCCTTTGTGCCGCAGCTGACGTGGTGCTCCCCCACAACTTGACTGGCCTCCGCTGCAGAACAACTGCTGATGTCAATGCCGTCGCTCTTTATAAGGGGAGCGCCAGCAGTTTTGCTGTCGGAAAGACTGTGTTGGCCGCAGACCTTCTGGATGCCTTCATTTACACCTGTGGGAATGCCAGCTCAAAGCTGCAAGACATCTTGACCCCTGGGAAATCCCCATTCCGTTTGGGAGAGCAGTAAGAAATTTCTGAAAACATTTTTTGCCTAGGAGACGGGCTGTAGTTAGTAGGGGGTTCACTTGTTTATATCTTAGTTCATCAAAGTCAGGGTTTTTGTAAGGCCGATAGTTACCGTATTGACTCAAGTCTCATGTGCTATTGAATCCAATGCGCAGCTCAGTTTCCAAAACCCTGAAACCAAAAAAAAGTGTTTGCTGCCAGATGTAATACGCAAAAGGTATACTCAAAAGTATGCATTACAATTGCTGCCTGCTTGGAATGCCTTCGTTATAAACAATTGTGTTGGAACACCTAAACTTCCAGCAATGGAAAAGAAAACCTTGGGTGCATTGATACTGTAGTATTTATTTATTTATCATGTCAGAAGCAAATTGAGAATACAGTTATAGTGTATAAAAATGAAGTTTTTAACTTGGAATTATACTAAATTTCCTTTGACCAGAAGCTGGCCACTTGGAATGCCTCTGGTGTTGCTGTAAGTAAGTCATCCATTGTACATGTGGCGGTACTCGGAATGCATTGTAGTAGGTGGTGTGTGGTTTGCTCTTCTCCACACTTGCCTGTTGTGGACTCCACTTCGTAGCCCCATTTCTTAAGGTTGGCTCTGCATCTCGTGGTTCTAGAGCACAGTCTGTTCAACACTGTCCAAGTTGCCCAGTCTTCTGTGTGTCCAGGGTGGAGTTTCTCATCTGGTATCAGCCACCGATTGAGGTGTGGGTTTTTTGCCTGCCAATTTTGGACTCTCGCTTGCTGAGGTGTTCCTGCGAGTATCTCTGTAAATCTTAGGAAGCTGTTTCTTGATTTAAGGCATTGGCCTGCTGGCTGATGTCCAAACAGAGGATGGGCCAGAGATGTCCATGCTTTGGTCCTTTCATTAGTGGCTGCTGCTTCTCGGCAGATATCAAGCGATGCAATATCAGCTAAACAGTATAATTTCTTCAGCAGCGTAGGGTGTAGGCATCCTGTGATAATGCGGCATGTCTCATTAAGAGCCACATCCAATGGTAGAATGCTGTAAAATGAATCCACTTTGACTGCCTTGTTCAATTCTATGGAATCATGGAGGCTGTAGTTTTACACGGCCTTGAGCCTTCTCTGCCAAAGAGTGCTGATGCCGCACCAAAGTACAAATCCCAGCATCGCATAGCTTTGAGCCCTGGCCATTAAATGAGAAAAGACATCCCTCAAAGAGGAGCTCCCAGCTCTACTGAATCAGCCTTCCCTTTGCTTTGGCTCAGCACTAAGATGATGATGATGATGATGATGATGATGTTTATTTATACCCCACTCTTTCTCTCCACAAGGAGACTCATAGCGGTGAGATGACTGTATTCCACAAATCTAATGCACACTCTAATTTTAGCAAAGTAATTTAGCCCAAAAAGGTGAGTATTAGATTCGAGTAAATATGGCAACTTGTGGCTCTCTCCACCCTCCCTGTCGATCTCTGCCAGATCTTTGCATAATGATACATCTGTAAGCCGCTGCTCCTGTTGCTCTCTCACCCGCGATCCCTCCACCTTTGCTGTCAGCAAGCCCACAGCTGGGAAATTCAACGACTGTCCCAAGAAGCGCTTTGGCCGAGAGATTTCCTTCTGCCTTCAAGTCTCGGGTGAGCACCATTGCATTCAGAGCTAAAACTAACAATGACACTGTAGTTCATTTAGATCAGAGTCTGCCCCATAGCTGGAAGTTAGAAGCTTAAAGGGAAAATGGAGAATCTGGTTTTAAAATCTAAAAATAATATGGTTTGAGTAAAGTTGAGCATCAGCTGCTTGTAAACAACAGCCTGGACTAGTGGCTGTGGTGCGAGTTGGAGAATAGGTAGTGAGCAAGGTGGACAGGAAGATGAATTGAATTCCCCTCCTCATTGTGGTAATGGTAATAGTTATTATGGAACATAGTTGCAGAATATAATTAAGATGAGACTTTCAGCCATTTTTTTTCTTTCATGTGCAACAATAAGCTTTTAAGTGCTACAGCACTGGGTTTCCTCCACCAAATTGCTATAGATGTCTATTCAGGATTCTTGTTAGGTTCAGTGGCACAAAACTCCCTGGTGGGATTATACAACTTTTCAGTCCTAGTATGCATTTCTCTCTCTCCTTTCCCCCATTTTAGATTGCCAGCAAGGGTCGCCAGGAAAAAGCGAGGTCCTGATATTTTTGGCCGAGGCTGTATCTGAAAAATGCAATTGTCATGTTCATTCTAATTCTTCCCAAGGTAAGACAAGTGCATTGTATAATCGTGGACTTCAGCCTATATTTGAGACAAGAGATTAAAAAGTGTTGTGTAAAGGAAAATGTTAGAGGGGAAGGGCAGCATCGGCTTCGTTTTTTTGTGTTTTTTGAAAGTGGCACTTAATAGCACCTGCATTTTATCTCTGTGTGTTTGTTATATTTATTTTTATATTACTTTGCTTTACCTCACTGTTTTAACTGTGTTGTATTCTGCCTCAAGCCACAAAGAGAGGTGGGAAATAAATTAATAATAATAATAAACTTTATTTATATTCCGCTCTATCTCCCCGAGCGAACTCAGGGCAGATTACAGAACATATATACTGCAAACATTCAATGCCGTTATACAATTAACATGGACAGACAATACATAAACAGAGGTAAAGTCTTTCCCATCTTTTTCCATTTTTGGAAATGAAGAAGCTCTTCACTCAATGGCAGGTAGGACAAATCTTGGCATGAAAACCCTAGAATAGAGTCATTGTAAGTTGGACATGTATTGTATTAGGCCAGAACTTCAGTGGAGCTTAATCCCAAGCAAATTGATATAGAACTATAGTCTTAGCATCTTTTTCTCTGTTTTCTTTTAGACCGCCAGCAACAGACCTCGGAGAAAGGAGCAGTACCAAAGTATCTGGGCAAAGAGCATGACTGTGAAATATCTCCTCCTTTCTTCAAAGGTAGGAATGAATGCATTGTCAAATTAAGGGGTCAGGTCATATTCTAAAATAATTAGAAATGTGTTTCTAGAAGAAAATGGAAGAAGTATTAGTTCCAATGGCTTGGGCATAATGCCCCATGGATCATCTCTTGCTCTCCTGCTAAGCCCTCTTTTGCCTTTATGCACCTCCAGTCTGGAAGGAAAAGGCATGACAAATGACTAGTGTTTCTCTATCTCCTCTGTCATTGTTTCTTATTGAATGCTTGTTGAGAACAAAGTTCTGATTAGGGAGCATCAAGCAGTGGCACTGCATCCATGGGATTTTATTGATTCATTCATCTGATAATAATAATAATAATAATAATAATAATAATAATAATTCAGGGTGGATTACAGTACACGTATATGGCAAACATTCAATGCTGTTATATGATCAACAAAGACAGACAATACAGAAACAGAGGTAAAGTCTTCCCATCTTTTTCCATCTCCGGCATCTGGAGGCTGTGCTCGACTCTGGCCACGGGGAAGTGCTGTCACTCCATTTTCCATGCCAAGGAGTTTTGTTGTGCATAGGCATCCACTCGACTGAATCATCAGCGTGTCCTTATGGGCACCTTTTATTACTTCCCCGTTTAAATCACTACCTATTTATCTATTCACATTGTTTTTTTCGATCTGCTAGGTGAGCAGAAGTTGGGCTGTCAGCAGGAGCTCACCCCAACCCAGGCTTGAACTGTCATTAATGCATCATTGGGGCAGGGGGGTTTTCCATCTCGACTAAAACAGGCTGTGGTCCGTCCACTCCTCAAAAAGGTCTCCCTTGACTCCACAGTGCTGAACAATTACAGACCAATCTCCAACCTTGCTTTTCTGGGCAAGGTTCTGGAACGGGTGGTCGCCTCCCAGCTTCAGGGTTTTCTAGATGACATCAATTACCTGGATCAGTCACAGTCTGGCTTCAGGTCTGGCCACGGCACCGAGACAGCTTTGGTCGCTTTGGTGGATGACCTCCGCAGAGAGCTGGACAGGGGGAGTATGACCCTGTTGGTTCTCTTGGACATCTCAGCAGCTTTCGATACCATTGATCATGGTATCCTTCTGGGACGACTCTCTGGGATGGGTCTCAGGGGCACGGTCTTGTCATGGCTCCGATCCTTCCTGGAAGGTAGATCCCAGTTGGTGAAGCTGGGAGACGCCTGCTCGGACCCCTTTGACCTGTGGGGTCCTGCAAGGCTCCATTCTGTCTCCCATGCTTTTTAACATCTACATGAAACCGCTGGGAGAGGTCATCCGGAGTTTTGGAGTTAGGTGCCATCTCTATGCAGATGACACACAACTCTACTACTCTTTTCCACCAAATTCCAAGGAAGCCCCTCAGGTGCTGGACGAGTGCCTGGCCGCTGTGGCTATCTGGATGAGGATGAACAAGCTGAAGATCAATCCCGACAAGACAGAGGTCCTCCTGGTCGATCGTAAACCGGATCGGGGTATAGGGTGGCAACCTGTGTTGGGTGGGGTTACACTCCCCCTGAAGTCACAGGTCCGCAGTTTGGGTGTCCTCCTGGACTCATCACTTATGCTTGAGGCTCAGGCGTCGGCGGTGGCCGGGAGGGCCTTTGCACAATTGAGACTTGTGCGCCAACTGCGACCATACCTTGTAAAGGCTGATCTGGCCGGGGTGGTCCATGCCTTGGTCACCTCTAGATTGGACTACTGTAATGCGCTCTACATGGGGCTGCTCTTGAAAACGGCTCGGAAATTCCAACTGGTCCAACAATCGGCGGCCAGGCTGTTAACTGGCGCTCCTTACAGAGAGAGGTCAACCCTCCTGTTTAAGGCGCTCCATTGGCTGCCGTTCATCTTCCGGTCCCAATTCAAGATGCAGGTGCTCAACTACACAGCCCTAAACGGTTTGGGACCCGCCTACTTGCGTGATCGCATCTCCATATATGAACCCACATGTTCGCTTCGATCATCTGGAGAGGCCCTGCTCACGATCCCACCTGCGTCGCAAGCGCGTTTGGTGGGGACGAGGGACAGGGCCTTCTCTGTGGTGGCCCCCCGACTCTGGAACTCTCTCCCCAAGGACATCAGACAAGCCCCAATGTTGGCAATCTTTAGGAAGAGCCTGAAGACCTGGCTGTTCCAGCGTGCCTTTCCAGATTAGGAAACTCCTGGCATCATGTCCCAAATGCAGTTTGTTAGAGACTAGGATTGTCTGCACATTGCACCTACCTCCAAAAAACCTCTACATACTTCCTGTCAAGTTCAGCACTTTTAAATTTTGTCCATTACATTTGTCCCGGCCTTTTAGATTTTAAATGCATCATGTGTCATTGTTTTTAGTGTTTTATTGTCTTTGCTTGATGTTTTATTATTTGCTTATGAGTTTTACTGTTATATTTGTATGTTGTTGTTTGTTGCGGCCTTGGCCTTTGTAAGCTGCATTGAGTCCTTCGGGAGATTTTGCGGGGTATAAATAAAGTTAATAATAATAATAATAACCTTTTGATCGACAAGATTTTCTGCAGCTGGTGGTGTAACTCACTGTGCTAAAGCCCGGCCCTATAACATTCCAATAGATACTTAAGAACTCAGTCTTTTCTTCTCTAAGCTAAACATATCAACTGACAGCCATTTCTCATAGTCCTTGAGTTCCAGTCCTTTCACCATTCATCCTTGTCCCTGGATATAGTCTGGTTCGTCAGTATTCTTCTTGAATTGCAATGTGCAGAACTGGAAACAGTGTTTCAGGTGAGGTCTGACCAAAGTGGAACAGAGTAGGATTTTCTGGCAAGTAGCTCAAATTCCTCACTAATCTTGCCGATAATTTCGTTACACAGAAACTGGAGAAGGCAAAAGGGTGAGACTATTTTTGATGGATTCTTGTACTGACCCCTGACTTCCCCTGCCCCATTGTCTCCAGAACTACATGTCTTCCTGCTCTCTGGAATACTATTTCCTTTCCTCTACATAAATCAGTTTAAGGTCTTCATCATCACATTCATAAGATTTTTTAGCAAATACTTGTTTTCCTAACTACTTATGAGATGTTGCCTATCTACTACCAGAAGTCCTTCTTCAGAAAAGCATAGAAGCCAAAACTTTCCCAGCCGCACCATCTGCAAAGCCAGTTGTTCATTTTCATTATCATTGTTGCTGTTATTTCTGTTTCTATGCCGCTTAAAAAGAAACCGACATTAATAATACTATTCTTCTCACTCTCTCTCTGGAGCATATCCTTCAATAGGAACTTGAGCCCCATATTCCCTTAACAATATTTAGTTCAAGGGTGGACAACCGCAGAGGGCTTCAGGGGCCACATCATCGGTGATCCCGCATGTCTGAGTCTGATTGCCTTCCAAGCGTAGGGTCTTGGTGATGAGTCCATAGGTAACTGTAGAGACTTATTCTTGATCTGCATGTTCTTTCACAGTGATGACATAGGTTTCTAGGTGGAAGGCAGTTCTGACACGGATTGGCTTGACACGCCTTATTCCTTTTGACATGTTTTTCCCTTTTACCCTCGATTTGTTCCTCTTCAAATTCCACAGGACTGTTGGTCACAGCTGACCACCAGTTAGAGTGCTCAAGGTGCAGGGCTTCCTTGTTCTCTCCGTGTTTATGCCATTGTTTTTAAGGTTGGCTTTAAGCTCATCTTTGAATCTCTTTTGCTGTCTGCCAACATTCCCTTTTCCATTCTTGAGTTGGAAGTAGAGAAACTGCTTTGGGCATTTGAACAACGTGGCCTTCAGTCCAGCGAAGTTGATGGTGGAGGATCATTGCTTCAATGCTGGTGGTCTTTGCTTCTTCCAGCACACTGGCATTTGTCTGCCCATCTTCCCAAGAAATTTGCAGGATTTTTCAGAGGCAACACTGATAGAATTGTTCCAGGAGTTGAGTGTGATGTCTGTAGACGGTCCACGTTTCGCAGACATATAACAGCATTGGGAAGACAGTAGCTTTATAAACAAAAATCTTGGTCTCCCTACGAATGCCCCAATCCTCAAATGCTCTCTGCTTCATTCAGAAAAATGCTGCGCTCATGGAGTTCAGATGGTGTTGTATTTCAGTTGACTTTTCTGGAAAGGTGGCTGTCAAGGTAGCGATAACAATCAACATTTTGTAACGTTACACAATTAAGCTGTATTTCCAGCATTGCAGCGGGATTGACCGGTGGCTTTTGCTGGTTAGAATGGTTGGATTTCTCAGTGTTGAGTGGCCAAGCTTTGTGTACGCTCTGCTTCTGGTACATGTTGTAAGTGATTAATTTGTTGTAAATGGTGTAGGCAAATTGGGTTATTTGTTTTAATTGGCTTTGATGTTCTGGTTGAATATATATTTTATGTGTTTCTGCTTTTTAAATCTTTGTACATGGCTTTGAATCCCGCCCATGGGGAAAAAAGGGATAAAAATGAACTAAAAAGAAGAAGAGGAATAAGATGCTTAGACTGGTTTGTAGGTCTTCTTCTGTTATCGTCAGAAGATGGCTGGAGTTCTATAACAGTCGTTGTGACCTTGGTTTTGGCACAAGAAGCTACTTACTCTTAATAACCAATGGGCCATGATTTCACTGTCTTCTTTTTGTCCTTTTCCTTCCTTCCTTTCTTTCTTTTGTTTGTTATTACATTGGAAATTTGTAATGCTATTTTAGTAAAACCAAAAAAATTATTTATTTTAAATGGCTAATCATCCAAGGCAGTGGTAAACTGGTTGTGATTTTGGGGGAGTTGTAGGCCAAAACACCTAGGGGCCCACAGGTTGAGAACCACTGATCTAAGGGCACCATCCCAGAGTGGGTGGTGGGGAGCAGAGGGAACCGTCTTACTTGGTTACGTGGTTCCCTACCATCTTTCCCCCTTCTTCTGGGATGGCTAGACATCCCACACCCTTTCCCCATCTTCTGCCCATCTTTCCCCATTTTAAGCTGTTTGGAGTCAAGTGTTTGGACTTCTGAACATGGACTTTTGGCTTCATCACCATGTTCTGCGGAGTCCCACTGCAAGCACTGTAATGTTATGCAATGGCCTCCATAGGGCGCCCTTGGGGCTCCGTTTTGGCAGTGCATGGAAATGGAGCTAGAACTCTATCTGATGAGGACCTTAGTGTGATACAGGGCTGTGGTTTGTAAGTGATTTCCTCTTCTCTCTGCCGCTCCCTCAGATGCTGTTGTCACATGCCAGGGCACAGAGCTGGTCTTCAGCGCTCTCCTGACTGCTAGGTCGGCTGCCCAGCAGGACATCTTGATGCAGGCCTTTTCAGGAGTCCTAAATACAGAAAAGGAGATGAGCTTTGGAAGGTGGAACTCCATGGTGTTGAAGGCTTGTCTGCCTAAGACAAATGGGAGCACTACCCCACCAGGTAAGTGTTGTAATGGAGAGGGACAGCATTGGATAGGGCACTCTGAGACTTTCCCCCCTAAAGCGGGAGCAATAATATTATCTGCCAGAGCATTAGGATCTTCTTTGCTCTGGCAAGTAAAAGAGGTGAGAATGTGGATCTCACATTGCCTGTGCCAGGGTAACATTTAGGGGGGGTTTGAAGAATTATGAAGTAATAAAGCACTATGTAACATGCGTCAAAATTTGAAAAATATTATGTTCCTGGGTTGCTGTGAGTTTTCCAGGCTGTATGGCCATGTTTCATAGTAGGTCTGTAGATTTTCTTAGTGGATACGCCATAGCAGAGCACCTAAGCTAGGATCCATAGCCATGGCTAGGTTGTGGAAGCAAGGTACTTATCCAGCTAGAGATGATGGGTTTTACTCTTTTTAAGGAGTAACGCCAGCAGAGCCAAGGACCACAGAAGCACCTCCACCAGTGCTGCTTATTAATGAAGTGAATCCAGACAACCCAGGAAAACGAGAGGACGCAGAGTACATTGAGCTCTTCTATCCAGGAAGAGTTCGACCCTTTGAGCTCTGGAACCACTGGCTCGTCTTCTACAATGGCAAGAACAACTTGGCATACCAGGTGATCAACCTGGGGGGACACCGTACCGATGCGCGGGGCTATTTCCTGGTGGGGAGTGCCGGAGTGACCCCCAAGCCTTCGATTGTCCTGCGGGATAACACCATTCAGAACGGAGCAGAAGCCGTGGCCCTCTACCACAGTCCTAACGCCATCTACAAAATGAACATGGAAGTTACCACCGAAGGGCTGGTTGACGCCGTAGTGTACACAGCCTCGAGTTCAGAGACAGCTGACCGGCTGCTTGCCATCCTCACCCCCGGACAGACCATCTTGTATGAGAATAGGTCGCGTAGTCCAGAGGATGTGTCTCTCAGCCGATGCCTTGGTCTGAATCCCAGAGACCAGAACGGCTTCCAGGTAAGTAGCACAAGGGGCACTTGGGGCAGGGCAGGGCGACTCTCATGCTTCTCTGTGTTCCTGACCAGAATTATGCATCCCATCTCGCAGCTTGCTTCGATGACTAATCTTGATTGATGTTCCTCCTTTTCTCCAGTGTGGAACTCAAGTGGGTGTATAACAGTGAAAATAGACATAGTATATAATTCAAGTAAGGTGAAATTTAAAAAGTAACTTGGACAGTCCCCAAGTTACAAACAAGATGGTCGGTTCTGTAGGTTTGTTCTTTAGTTGAATTTGTACATAAGTCAGAACAGGTACATTTTAAAGTGTAACTCCAGCCATATATGTGTGTGTGTGTGTGTATACACACACACATGAAAAGGTAAAGGTTTCCTCTGACATTAAGTCTAGTCATGTCCTATTGGGGGTTGGTGTTGTCCGTAGACACCTCCAAGGTCATGTGGCCAGCATGACTGTATGAAGCGCTGTTACCTTCCTGCAGAAGCGGTACCTATTTTTGAACTGCTAGGTTGGCAGAAGCTGGGCATAACACCGGGAGCTCACCCTGCTCCCTAGATTCGAACCGCCAACCTTTTGGTCAGCAAATTCGCAGCTCAGCAGTTTAACCCACTGCACCACCAGGGGACCCTACACACATACACACACACACATATATACATATATATGTATTAGCTTTGGATAGCACCCAGGTTTGTTTTATTGTCTGTGCCTCCTGCTCAGATTTCCCCTCACTTTCTATCCCAGTGAGAATTGGATTTTGGAAAATGCGGCTTGTTGTGGAAACAAGGACTGGAGATAAAGCTTCAGTTGAGACCCCCTTCCCCCCCCCCTTTTTTTTTTTTTTTGTCGTGTCAGGAGTGACTCCTGGTGTGAGAGAATTGGCCGTCTGCAAGGACGTTGCCCGGGGGATGCCTGGATGATTTGATGTTTTTATCATCCTTGTGGGAGGCTTCTCTCATGTCCCCGCATGAGGAGCTGGAGCTGATAGAGGGAGCTCATCCGCCTCTCCCTGGATTCGAACCTGTGACCTGTCGGTCTTCAGTCCTGCCGGCACAGGGGTTTAACCCACTGCGCCACCAGGGACTCCTTCCCTTTCCCCCTGATAATAACTCTTCCAGGAGTAAATTTCTCTTTCAAGGGGTAGATTTCTCTTACTTCCTGTTATCTCACTCCCATTCTTAACGATGAGTCATTTGTAAGTTGGATATTTGTAACACGGGGATGGCCTGTATTGCAAAAGCATAACAAAACCCACCCCAAATAAAAGTCCAGCATGTTAGGCAAGATCTGTTTCCCTTAAATATGTTCAAAGGCATGCTGTGACTCAAAGGTCTTCACTTTTGTACAGGAAGACAAAAAAGGAAGTGTCTGTCTAATCTCTGTCGAAGGGGGACCCAGAGTCTGGGGTCATGGGCCAGCTGTTGTCAGTGTAGATTCATGCAATGCAGTTTAACTGCATTGAGCTGCATTACATAAACCTACACTGATCATATAATGCCGTTTCAAGTGGCATTCTATAGCAATGTTGATGGAGCTTTTTATGCCATGAAAACTATGGCCCCTTCCACACAGATGTATAAAACCCACAATAAATTGGATTATATGGCAGTGTGGACTGATAACCCAGAGTCCTTCCACACAGCCATATAACTCAGAATATCAAGGCAGATAATCCACAATATTTGCTTTGAATTGATTATCTGAGTCCACACTGGCATGTAATCCAGTTCAGTGTGGATTTTATACAGCTGAGTGGAAAGGGCCACAGTTCAAAGCAGATATTGTGGATTATCTGCCTTGATATTCCATGTTATATAGCCGTGTGGAGGGGCAGCGGTAGCACAACTGGTTAAACTGCTAGCTGCAGAAAAACTTGCTGACTGGAAGGTCGGCAGTTCAAAGCGGGTCAGGGTGAGCTCCCGGCTGTCAACCCTTCTGCTGACCTAGCAGTTCAAAAACATGTAATGTGAGTAGATCAATAGATACCGCCTTGGCAGGAAGGCAAAAGGCGCCCATACAGCCATGCCGGCAAAACATGCCTAGGAGTGTGTACCGATGACAGGCTCCTCAGCATGGAAAATGGAACAAGAGCACCTCCCAATGGCCAGAGTTGAGCATTGCCTCCAGACACCGGAGATGGAAAGGGAAACCTTTGCCTTTGTTTGCATATTGTATGTCATTGTTGATTGTATAAAAGGCATTGAATGTTTGCCTATATGTGTATACTGTAATCTTGTTCCCTCGGGGAGATAGAGCAGAATATAAATAAAGTGTATTATTATTATTATGTTCAAGGGACAGGCATATTACACTCTGTAACATGTTTTTGTTCCTGGGTTATAAATGCATTTCCTAATTGGTTCTATCATAAAAGAGATGGGAAAAGATTATTAAACTGCCAAAACTGTTTAATACTTTTGTGCAGGAGGGACATCCCGCTATAGCACATTTTGCTCTAGTTTTTCAATGAAGTTTTTTGAGTCTCAATCAATTCAACCTTGTTTGTGGCAGCCACAAAAATGAAGTTTCTGGAGTAGAACAATGACTTTCCAAGTAAGGACCACACAACAAAACAAGAAAAAACACTTTTAAACCAGGAACAGAAACTTTTTCCCCACATTTTGCCACATAGTGTTACTGATATGAGTAAGATGTGAGGCTTCTTAAATTTTTGTGGGTCTTTTCTTTGCCTTCAGGTGACGGAAATAACTCCTTTCCAGAAAAATGCTTGTCCACCCATTGGCTTGAACTCCACAGAGGAAACTCCCCACAACCATTCCATCATAATCAATGAACTGAGCATCAGCAACAGTACCATTCTATACCAGTTTGTTGAGCTGAAAGGAGAGCCCGGGGCCAGTTTGAAAGGATACACACTGATGTTCTTTTCTGGGCACAATGATCAGCCATACTCCAAGATCCCGCTTCAAGGCACATTTGGGAACAACAGTCTGTTCGTTATCTTGCCAATTGGAGGATCCAGGACTGGAAAGCTTCATGGTACATCAATTTAAATTTGTTCTTTTATTTAGTACCTTGCATGGAGAAATGTTAATTCTTTATAATCTTAACTCCTAGAATCTTCCAACCGGCATGGGAGTTGCCAAGGGAAAAAAAAAACATTTATACATTGTGGTTAAAAGTAAGCTCCATTACCTCTCATGCAGCTATTACAGGCTAATATTTTTAATACTGATTTTAAATTTTTATTGGATGTGTTGCAATAGCAGATTCCCAAATTAGTTTAGTGTTTACACCTTATTTTATTTTTCTGGTTATTTAATATTTAATGTTTAAGTTATATTTGTCTTTACTGTTCTAATGTAGCACAAATCCTATTTAAAATCATACTACGTATTTTTGACATTAATATTGAAATTTGAAAAATATACAGAAAGTCTTTACTTTGAGATACGTTTGGATAGGTAAACTGGATTGAAACTGTTTTGGGCCCTTCCTTCCCACCATTCCTAATGGCCTCAGGCCCTTCCTTTCCCCCCTCAGCCACTTGAGAGGAAAAAGACAAGAAAAGGAAGGGGCCTGAGATTGTTAGGAATGGTGGGAATTGGAGTCCAAAACACCTGGAGGGCCCAAGTTTGCCCATGCCTGTACTGCTAAACTGTGTAACTCTGCTGGAAGGTGCGATTCCACCATGTAATAAAATTTGAATGATTGTCTGTTCCTGGTTTGAAAGTGTTATTTCCTGTTTAATTGTGTGGCAGTTACTTTGAAAGTCATTGTTCTGCTCCAGATCACAGCCCTTCCCACAACATAGAGTTAAGGACAATTGCATACCAATATACAGATACAATACAGTAAGTATTCTGAATTATATACACAACAAATAACTAGTGTAGGAGGCTTGAAGAAAGTTGCTATTCCAACAGAACCAATGAGGAAATGACATTTATAACCAATGAACAAATACTGCATTACATGGTGTTATTGATGTCACACAATTTGTATTGGAGCCCGTAAACTAGTCAGTTGTGTCAACTGCCTAATGCCTATGTGTAAGGCCACTCTGAGCCCCTCAGGGTGGGAAAGGTGGGGTATAAATATGGTAAGTAAATAAATAATAAATATTGTAATCACTATTCCAACACACCTATTGAAGCATTTATTTATGATTTATTTACCATATTTGTATACTGCCTTTCCCAGCCTGGAGGCAACTCAAGGCGGTTCACAGTCGGCAACAATTTGATGCCTCAACAATTATAAAACAGTTGAAACAATCATAAAATAATATTAAAACATTTAGCATATAATATAAAAACTGTACAAAGCCATAAACACATTATCATGATTGTCTCCTTACCAAAAGTCATTATCCAATTGCATTGTCAAGTCGTTCAGTGATTTCATATTTACCTGGTTATGCTACATTAGCGAAAGCTTGCTCAAAAGCCAGGTTTTAACCTTTTTTTCGGAATGTCAGAAGGGAGGAGGCCAATCTTATATCCCTAGGGAGGACGTTCCACAGCCCAGGGGCCACCACTGAGAAGGCCCTGTCTCTTGTCCCTGCCAAACGCATCTGCGAAGGAGGCAGGACCGAGAACAGGTATTGTGGGAACTAAAATGATACCAAGTAAAGCTTAGACCAAAACTAGAACTGATGATGTGTTGTCTGTATTTCCAGAGCAGCTGGTGATGCCCTCTCTTTGGAGTGAACCGTCTCCATCACAGCACAGCCGTAGCGTTGCACTCTTCAGACATATACATGTTCCAAATGGCACTCTGGCACCGGATGAGATTGTAGAAGATGTGGTCGTCTTCACAAATGAGCCCCACATCAGCCAACTTCATACCAGCTTTCCTATCTACTTCGTTTCCAGGAAAGCGGAAAGGTAAGATGGCATTTTATGTGAGGTTTGTTAGTCTATGAGACATAGGACCTTTTTACATGGACCTTGAGAAACATGGGGGACTGTTTGTGTCTTGCAAAGGGAATCGTACCTTTCGATCCCCATTTGTCCTGTTTCAAGTTCTGTCTTCTCATCACGTGTGTTTCCCTCTTTATTTTTTTCCACTGTTGTTGCCCATGTTCAAACCATTACATGAAGAATCTTTTTCTCCTCCCTCTCCGTATTGCTTTTATTTAAAAAAGTCAGGGAAATCCTGCCATGGAAGAAAGAAAGAGAGAGAGAGAGAGAGAAGGAAGAATGAAAGGGAACAAGATTGGAAGGCAGAGAGGGAAGGAGAAAAAGGGAAAGGGAGGAGGAAAGAAGGAAGAAAGGAAGAAGAGACAGAAAAGAAAGAAACAGGTGAAGGAAAGAAGAAAAGGAATGAGGGAGGAAGACAGGGAGGAAGGTAATTTGATTGTGTTTTTCCTGCATGGTAGGGAGTTGGACTGGATGGCCCATGTGGTTTTTAGCTTTGACTATATTTTGATGGATATTAATTGTAATTTTAAAATACTGTTATATTTAATTCTGTTGTAATGTTGCCATATTTCTAAATTGTGTGGTTATGTTTTTAATGTAACCCACTTTGAGTCTCCTTCAGGAGAGAAAAGGTGGGGTAAAATAGCATAATAATAATAATAATAATAATAATAATAATAATAGTAAAGACCTCAAAATCGAACTGCAGAGACCTCTGGCATAAACCAGTAGAGGTGGTCCCAATGGTCATCCCTGTCCTGAACTCCCACCTTTCAGCACACTTCTGTTCCATTTCTACGAAGGGCAACAGATGACAGCCGGAAGTAGGCAAATGTTATGTGATTGGCTCTATGCCTTTTCATACTTGAAATGAAGTTTGTACAATGGGGAAAATGTTCCATGGGATGAGGTCAAAAGAGAAGTTGCATTGAGCCTTACTAATCATGCTTGTGATATGATCTCCTGTTGGTTAGTTAGTACTGCAACATCCATGACGTTACTGGAGTTAAGGAGGCTTTTCTAGGGAGAAAGAACACTTAAATATTGGGTTGTTGTAGGTTTTCCAGGTTATATGGCCATGTTCTAGAGGCATTTTTTCCTGACGTTTCGCCTGCATCTATGGCAAGTATCCTCAGAGGTAGTGAGGTCTGTTGGAAGTAGGAAAACAAGTTTTATATATCTGTGGAATGACCAGGGTGGGACAAAGGACTCTTGTCTGCTTGAGCTAGGTGTGAATGTTTCAACTGACTACCTTAATTAGCATTTGATGGCTTGGCAGTGTCTGGGGGGAATATTTTGTTGAGAGGTGATTAGATGTGCCTGATTGTTTACTCTCTGTTGTTTTGCTGTTGTAATTTTAGAGTTTTTTTTAATATTGGTAGCCAGATTTTGTTCATTTTCATGGTTTCCTCCTTTCTGTTGAAATTGTCCACATGCTTGTGGATTTCAATGGCTTCTTTGTGTAGTCTGACATGGTGGTTGTGAGAGTGGTCCAGCATTTCTGTGTTCTCAAATAATATGCTGTGTGCAGGTTGGTTCATCAGGTGCTCTGCTATGGCTGACTTCTCTGGTTGAAGTAGTCTGCAGTGCCTTTCATGTTCCTTGATTCGTGTCTGGGCAATGCTGCTTTTGGTGGTCCCTATGTAGACGTGTTCACAGCTGCATGGTATACGGTAGACTCCTGCAGAGGTGAGAGGATCCCTTAAATATTAAGGGATCTTAAATATTATTCTACATGTGTATATCTCTGTGATGTTTAATGGGCCCCCAGCAAACAGTAATTTGAATGTTCACTTGTCAGTGTTCAACATTTTCGTAATTGTGGAAATAAGCCTTAACACTTTTAGGTTTGTTTTTTCATTGGCAGACCTTTGTCCTTGAGCCGCTGTTCTTCCTGCAAAGAGGCCTTTGCTATCTCTGACCCCACTCCCGGCACAGAGAACGTGTGTCCTCGGGACTCATTTTCTTTGGATCTTAGGATGTGCCTGCTGACATCCAGTAAGGAAATAATTTTTTCTTTGTCCCAACAGCATGGAAAGAATGTTTACAGTAGAGCCGATGTTCTATTTATCTAAGTCAGTCCTAAACAATGGCAGCAGACAGGATTGTGACTGAAGTGATGATTTATACTATGTAACATGATAGTGTCTGCAAAAGGACAAATATATTCCTGCCCTAGATTTAGTTCATGTATGCATAGGTTTTTATCTTTTCCATCTTTAAATATATATATTTACTATTTACTCTGATTCTGTTTTTGTTGGAGTTTTTTGCTGTTGTGTGTTGTGATTCTAGAATTTGTAATATGTATAATTTATAATATGGTCAGTATGCCAGAATTTCTGCTTATGTACTAGGTAGGTCCTTTATTGGAGATACTTCCCTGGTGTGAATTTCCCTCTTGAAATGGCTTTTTGACTTAGAATAGACCATGTGGCATTTCTGCCATATGTCTGAGATAAATATATAAAGAGATCTCTGCAATATTGTTAATTTTTTGTCCTCATCCTGACAGACTGTTCCTTGTGGCCTCAAAATGCACACATCCTGGCTAGCCTCCAAAAAGCCTTAGTAAGATCAATGGAAGAGAACTGCCTTTGTGGTGTGTCCCCATGCTATATAAAAGGTCTGTATATGAAATGTAAAGTGACACCATAAGATCTGCTGTTTGCTTTGTGTAGATATCTGTAGAGAAGGAATGCTATTCCTGCGTTGTTCATGCAGTGTCTCAGAAGAAGGAGGGAGGATGGCTAAGAAGGCTGTACTATTGGGGAGTGATGTTTTAAAATAGAAATGGAGACAGCCAGCTTGAAAGATAAGACTCCAGCTGTAAGTCCTTAAGATGACAAAAGGTCTTCTGAACTGAAATGGTTTTGCAGTCTATGCTTAAAGGTTAGGTAAAGGTTTCCCCCTGAAGTTAAGTCCAGTCGTGTCTGACTCTGGAGGTTGGTGCTTATCTCCATTTGTAAGCCGAAGAGCCGGCATTGTCTGTAGACACCTCCAAGGTCATATGGCTGGCATGACTGCATGGAGCGCTGTTACTTTCCCGCCGGAGCGGTACCTATTGATCTACACACATCTGCATGTTTTCAAACTGGTAGGTTGGCAGAAGCTGAGGGTAACAGCGAGAGTTCACCCCGCTCTCCGGATTTGAACCTGTGACCTTTCAGTCGGCAAGTTCAGCAGCTCAGCACTTTAACACACTGCACCACTGGGGGCTCCTTAGTGCATGCTTAGATTGCCTTAAGGCAGGAAGAGGTGAAGGGGGAAGAAGGAAATGTGAGTGTGGTGTGAGTTTTAAAAACCTCTGTATAAAAAGCTGCTGCCCCTTCCTTTCTCTGTGTAGTACTTCCCTGGCTTGATTGAGGTATAGGCCTACCCCTTAGTTCTTCTGTAAATCCCATTTCTAGTCATAATTGGGAATGTATGCTAGTGATTAAGGCATTGTTCATCAACATCACCTTCTCCCATTTCCATCTTCCTAAAACTCCTGCTGTTCTGCTGTTTTGACTAGCAAGGCGTTTCATCCTTCTTTTCAAGTCCGTCCAGCTCCTCCTGCCCTCTGCCTTAACCTTTTGCTGGCTTTCTTAGAAATTTCCATTCTCTTCAGGGGAACGGTGACATCTGAACAGAAGGAACCACTCTTTCATTTTTCCAAACATGTATTTGGTCTTAACAAGGGCTCAATTTCACCTGCCGTCATTCCGTCCTGGAGTTCTCTGGTCAGCTATGGGCCCGGTCACGAGAACAGCGGGAGCTGCTTCTCCGTTGGTGGTCTCACTTCTCAACCAGTCCCCACCCGTTTACAGTGGATGGAAGACTCCTCCGAGCAAAAGCAGAATGCTCACCTACCAGTGAAACAGCACAGAGGTCTGGAGGTGAGCTTACTTACTTAGGTGATCCCTCGTTGCTCAAGGATGATTGTCTTCCAGATGTGGTGTCTTGGCGGTGGGTCCGTAGCTGGCTGTGGAGCTCTATTCTTGATCCACATGTTCTCCTGCAGTGAGGACATCAGTTTCCAGATGGAAGGTGGTCCTGGTCAGGGTTGGCTTGACGTGCCTTCCTCTTGGCACATTTCTCTCTTTCACCCTCTATTGGTGCCTCTTCGAGTTCTGCAGCATTGCTGGTCACAGCTGACCTCCAGTTAGAGCGCTCAAGGGCCAGGGATTCCCAGTTCCTGGTGTTTATGTTAGCTAATAGGAACATGGCCAAACCTCAAGATTCTAGAAGCAGTACTCCAAGTGAGGAAATTTCCCAAGTTGTGGTCAGTAAAGTTCTGCCTCACTTTCAAAAGAATCCAATGTCTAAATCTTTTGAATGGGAGGAAAAGATAAAGGAGGATTACCTATATCTGGAAATGTATTGATGTGACCAGAGAAGGTTTTGGGTATGCTGTGATTCGGTGGTGGTACCAAGTCATATAGTACTTGGCAATGCTATGGAACCCTGGGATTTGTAGTTTGGTGAGATACCAGCACTTTTTGGTCGTCAAAACTAAAGAATTGGCTGAAAAACTTCTATGATTCCATAGCAGTGAGCCATGGCAATTAAAGTGGTACCAAACTGCATTAATTCTACACCATAGATGCACCCTTAGATTAGAATGAGCATAACACCATTGACCATGCTGCCAGGGCTTTCTGGAAGTCAAACCCTCAAAATGAAAAGTTCCGCACCCCATATGAATTCTCCGTCATATGCCCCCATCTGTATGCTCTTCGTATTTTTAAAATAAAGTGTGTACTGTATAACTGTCAAATACCCAGCCTTTTCAGGGTCTTGACCTTGAGGCAGTGAGCTTCTAGCAATTTTCCCAAAAGAACATCTCAACACAATCAAATTAATTCTCTTCTTTTTTGTCATCTTATATCCACCATGATTTTTTCACAGCTTCATTTCAAGCGTGGGAAGTTGCACTCACTGTTTTGGGCTCTATTTCGCTTTCAGTGCTGTTAGCTGGTGCAGCATTTTACTGGATCAAAAGGTAAGAAATTCCAAACCCCTTGTGGTTTGGAGATACTCCCTTCTTGTTCCCAATGACTTGCAGTTCTGAATGTGTTGAAACCAATGATTGTGTATTTAATTGGCTGCAGCAGGCCCAGTTTCCTCCATGATCCCTTTCCACCTAATTCAGCATCAGTCCTGTTTTGGTCCCTTTTCAACACACCGTCTTCAAACAGCTCTCCTCCAGCAGCCTACTAACATTTGTTGTAGGTCTAGCACCTGTCAAGAAAAAGAATATGGCACAGATTGCTGCAAAAAGCAAACAAGATCACAAACAGCGCAGGAAAACCATTATCTCCAAAACCGAAGTTCACCTATTTTCTTCTTGAAGACTGAGCTTGAAAAATGGAAGAAGTAATATATTAACACTTTATTTATATTCTGCTCTATCTCCCCCGAGGAGACTCAGAGCGGATTACAACATACACAGATAGGCAAACATTCAATGCCATTAATTCAGTGAAATAACAAGGACGCACAAATACACAGAACAAAGGTAAAGGCTTCCCTTTCATCTTTGGCTTCTGGAGGTGGTGCTCAATTCCAGCCATGGGGAGATGCTATTTTTCAACTTCCAAGCTGAGGAGCCTGTTTTTCAACTTAATGTTTTATTTACTGTTTTAAACAGTTTTGTAAGCCGCCCTGAGTCTCCCCTCGGGGGTTGAGAAGGGCGGGATAGAAATCTTGGAAATAAATAAATAAATAGTCTGTAGACACCTCCTGGTGGTATTGCTGGCATGGCTGCATGGCCAACGTTATTACCTTCCCTCCAAAGCAGTACCTATTGATCTACTCACTTGTGCATGTTTTCGAACTGCTAGGTTGGCAGGAGCTAGGGCAGTAGGAGTTCACCCTGACCTACAACAGTGGGAGCTCACCCTGACCTACAACTTCGAACTGCCAACCTTTAGGCCAGCAGATTCAACAGTTCAATGGTTTAACCCATTGCTCCACTGCGGCCCCTATATAGACCTAGTGTAAAATAAAGTGATGTAAAATAAAACAATAGATTTATTGGACAGCAACAGGCGATAGTGAAATCCTGGATGTCTCTGATTTTTGCTTACAAAAATGGTCCATCATGGCAATGATCCTTTTAATGGAATCACAAAGAGACTGGACTTGATGATTTGCTGTTGTGGTCATCCAGGAAGAGGATTTTTTAAAAGCCATATTATAATCAAACTCTTTCCCCCTCTTCTTAGTAGCAGGAAAGCACAGAACAATAAGCAACAAGCATAAGAAATTTAATTTGAATCACAGCGCATCATGCTCAGTATAATCAGTTAATCAAGTGCCTATCTCTCCCCTCCTCTCTACTGACTTCTGTAATACTTGCAGACTAAGAAGGCTGTTTTGTTGTGTGCCTGATTCTCAATTCCAAATTTTACAAATGTCCACAATTCGATAGGTATCGTGCTATACAGAAAAATCAGGAAAGTGTACCTAGTTTTTCTAAAAGTATTTTCTCATTGCAACGTTTTCGAATTGGCAATAATGGTATCTTCAGTGGAACCCGTTTCAATGCAGTTTGCAGTCTTTTCTTCTTCTCTGCCTAATGAAAGAAATGCAAGTCATACAGATTGCTGTATTTTCTCTTGCGTTTTCCAGGCGTCCACAGAATTACACCACCATTGAGCTGAACGATCGCTCTGAAATTATGGCAGAAACCTGATAGTCAAAACCAGGAAACATGTTTATTTCTGGAACTAATGAAGAATAGCAAAAGCAACTCAGAGAGCTACTCTAGTTGCCTGGCATTTGCACAGACGACCAAGAATGTAACATTTCAAAGTCCTGAGTCTATTTATGATTATGGCGATAATAATAATAATTTTGATATTTTCAGAATGAAATCTACATTTTTGTTTCATTATATCTTCTACTTTGATCCACACTGCTGTTGTGTATTCAGTGGAAAGCTTCTGAAGGCTATCTTTGACTGTTATCCATCTCCTGTGCAAAGGTGGTGCCTTTGCAAATAGTGCAGAGATGGTGGTAAGACACACAGCTCATCAAAAGGACTCCTATCAAGTGTGCAAAAGTGTGCAAGATGCACAGCTCAACAAAAGGACTCCTATCAAGTGTGCAAAAGATTCTCCACCCAGTCTCCAGTTTTTAGAAAAGGAGTGGATAATCAGTGATACACATAGTGATGGAAATGACATTTGCTAGTTTGTAATTCAGACTGGGTCATGAAAAGAGAACGCCTACATTGTAATGTTGAGTGGGACCATAAATGCCAACCTGTTTTTTTGGTAAAACTCTTGCTGTGACTAAGGTGTACAAAACTTAGAAAACTCTAAAATCATTGTGCCATGGGAAGAAGACATGTCCAATCCAAGAAATCCCAGTATTGTAAGAGTCCACCCTAGGTCTTGAAGTTCTTGAAAGAAGGGGTTTAAAGAATGGATCTCCTTGAAAGAAGGGATTTAAAGATGGTGCAGAATTTATTACAAGATCTGCACCATCTTTAAATCCCTTCTTTCAGGGAGACCAGCATACTTTTATGCTTCTTTCAAGGGATGAACCTAGCAGCAGCTGTACCCTACAAACACTATCAAATAAATATATAAACCTGAGATTTTATGTGTAACTTGCATCTTTTATGTACTGTGCCAATTCTTAACTGTATAAACTGCATCAAATGAATGTATCAGATAGATGTAATAACCTCTAGATCAGTGGTTCTCAACCTTCCTAATGCCGTGACCCCTTAATGCAGTTCCTCATGTTGTGGTGACCCCCCAACCAAATTTGACACAATTACTAGATACACCCAAATTTGAATACTGGTGGGGTTGGGGGGAGGGTTGGTTTTGTCATTTGGGAGTTGTAGGTAAAAGTTTTCCCCTGACATTATGTCCAGTCATGTCTGACTTGGGTGTGGTGCCCATTTCCATTTCTAAGCCAAAGAGCCAGCATTGTCCGTAGACACCTCCAAGGTCATGTGGCCAGCATAACTGCAGGGAGCATAGTTACCTTTCCACCAGAGCAGTACCTATTGATCTACTCACATTTGCATGTTTTTGAACTGCTAAGTTGGCAGAAGCTGGGGCTGACAGCGGAAGCTCATGCCGCTTGCTGGATTTGAACCTGCACCCTTTCGGTCAACAAGCTCAGCAACTCAATCAAAGAGCATTCTGAACTCCACCAATGATGTAATTGAAACAAACGGCACACAGAACTCTCATGACAACAAAAAAATATTGGAAGGGTTTGGTGGGCATTGACGTTTGGAGTTGTAGTTCACCTACATCCAGAGAGCACTGTGGACAAACAATGATGGATCCCACCTTGGGCTCCTCCACGGCCTCGCCATTTGGCGAGCGCGCGGGGGAGCCCAGGAAGGGCTCGCGCGAAGGCTGCCTTGGCTCCCTCGCGGCCTCGCCATTTGGTGAAGCCGCAAGGGAGCCAAGGGAGCCTTCACACGAGCCCTCCTTGGGCTCCTCCACGGCCTCGCCATTTGGCGAGCGCGCGGGGGAGCCCAGGAAGGGTTCGCGCGAAGGCTGCCTCGGCTTCCTTGGCTCCCTTGCAGCCTCGCACGAAGCCTCTCTCGCCTAGACTGTGCTCCCGCCGGGCGGCAGGGGCACGATCTAGGAGAGAGAGGCTTCATGCAAGGCTAGGCCCCGCACGAAGCCTCTCTCGCCTAAGCTGCGCCCCTGCCGCCCGTGCTAGGCCCTGCACGAAGCCTCCCTCGCCTAACCCGCGTTCCTGCCAGCCGGCGGGATCGCGATCTCGGCGAGGGAAGTTTCATGTAAGGCAGCCATTTTGAGGGGGCGGGGCCAACCGAGGCCCCTTCGCGACCCCCAGAAAATGGCCCAGCGACCCCCCTGGGGGTCGCGACCCCCAGGTTGAGAACCGCTGCTCTAGATAAATCCTTTGGGCTCCCATGCAGAGTGTATAGGCTGTGATAGTATATAAATTCTAAGAGTTGAATTCCTTGCTGATTATATTTATTGTCCATGGGGATAAGTTAAAAATATATTTTCCAATTCTAGGCCTAAAGGTTGCAAGAGGCCTTCTGAAGCTGCTCCAATCCGGGCATGAAAGTCCCCACATATAAGAACAAATGCCTTGGGAAATTTCAAGTTTATCCATTCTAGCAGAAAGATTAGATCCTTCCATATTTTGGGAGTCACTAACAGACCATTGGAAAGAGAAAAATAAATGCTTATGCAGAAAAAAATATTCCCAGTATCTGTATTAATTTGCACTAGCAAAAGATAATTACTGGGTTGTTGTAGGTTTTTCCGGGCTATACGGCCATGTTCTAGAGGCATTTTCTCCTGACGTTTCACCTGCATCTATGGCAAGCATCCTCAGAGGTAGTGAGGTCTGTTGGAAGTAGGAAAATGGGTTTATATATCTGTGGAATGACCAGGGTGGGACAAAGGACTTTTGTCTGCTGCAGCTAGGTGTGAATGTTTCAACTGACCACCTTGATTAGCATTTAATGGCTTGGAAGTGCCATTAGATAATTACTTTGCAAACTGAAATCCACCACTTGGGAATCTTCTGCTAATGTCTTTTTTAGATTTCTTTATGACTGGTTGTCTGAATGCTTTACAATCATGTAGGAATGGGGGATTGAGTTTGTGTGTCCTGTCCAGGTCTCTTACAGAACTAGTTTAGTGAAGGCTCACCAGGCACGGACCTCTCTAACTGCAGTCCTTGCTGAAATCACTACTGAGTTAGACTTCAAAAATGTACATGTTCCAACTTAAAAACAAGTTCAACTTAAGAACAAACCTACAGAATCTCTCTTGTTTGTAACTTGGGAGACTTTCCTGTAATGTGGAAGAGAGTGCAAAGAATGCTAAACTGCATTTCCCAGAATGCAGTGCTCAGCATCGGACAGCCCCAATGGCACCAGCTGTTTATAGTCAGTCTAATAATAATAAATAAAATTATTGAATTTGCAAAAAGGCCTAAAGTAAGTAATAGCATAAATCTATGCTAAGTTGAAGTTATGTGGTTGTGTATCATAAAAATTCAAGGGGATTGCTGTCACTTTGGAGGGGGGGATAAATTGCCTTTATCTAAACTTTTAAAAATCCCCAAAAATCTGTAGATGTCAGAATCTTTCTGAAACTTCTGGGGATTGATGCCCTGGTTATCTTATGCATTGTATATAAAATTCAAGTAGATCACGCTTGTGGTTTTTTAAAAATGTTGTTTAAAAAACTTTAACAATTTGTCAAAAATCTGTGGATATGTGAAATGTTTTGAAATCTGGTGGTCTAACAGTGGGAAATGTGTTCTACCATTGTAGCAAGTTTCACTTCAATAGCTTTAAAAATGAGGGAGAAATTAGCCCCTGAATTTTCCCCAATTATAGTAATTATGCACAATTACTATAACGAAATAGTAACGAAATTTCGTTACTCCCGTTATAGTAATGCATTTTCACTTTAGAAACGAAATGCCAGCGCCCCCCAGTTTTGTAATGACTTCTGAACCATAGATCGCACATCTCTAGTGGACATCTACACTGTGGAATTAATCCAGTTTGACACCACTTCAACTGCCCTGGCTCAAAGTTATGGGAATCCAATTGGGGGGGGGGTGTTTTAGTGTGACAAGCTAAAGACCTTGTCAAATTAGGAACCCAAGAGTGTGTTTGAATAGAACAAAGTGTCTTCATCTTTTTTTAACAAAATCGATAGTTGGGGGGGGGGGGGCGGAACTAAAAACCCTGTCCCGTAACCATAGAAACAGCGGGGATCTTAGGGCTACAGGCCTATCCGCTCCAAGTCCGTGGCGCCATCASAGCGCGCGACGCCTGGCTGCCTCTCGGAAAAGCGCGGGCGTGACGTCACGGCGAGCGCGACTGAGGCGGCAGCAGTAGAGGCGGCCGGTTTGCCTGAGGATGTAAGTCGGGGCGGCGGCAATCTGTCGCCATCCGGGCTTCCGTGGGGAGCGGGGGACCACGGGGGACCCCCAGATTCATGGGTGGGACACTCCTCGGGACCGCGGAGGGGTTTTGGAAGAGGGGCGGCTCGGTGGGCGAGGCCTAGCCCGGCTTCACAAGGCGCCCGGTAGGCCTTGAGGCCTAGCGTCCGTTTTGAAGCCTCCTTTCCCCCTAACAGTGTTCTTTTTCATCCTCCCAGAGGCCCTCGCTGTAGAATCAATTCTGTGGCCTCATGGGAGTTGTAGTTTGGCGAGGCCCCACCCCTCTTCGGCAAAGAATCCTATGCAAAACTACAACTCCTTTTGCCTTGAGCCATGGCAGTTCAATTGCGTTAATTCTACTGTGTAGATTGCCATTCCGCTTTACCCACAGCAGCCCAAGGGATTGTTAGATGCTGGATCAATGTAGGTTCCATTGACACTGCTATTTAATGCGGCTTGAAACTACATTATATGGTAGTGTAGACCAAGCATGGGCAAGCATTTGCCCTCCATGTGTTTTGGACCCCTACTGCCAGAATTCTGAACAGCCTTGCAGCTTGAAACTGCATTATATGGTAGTGTAGAGCAGGCATGGGCAAACTTGGGCCCTCCCAAGTGTTTTGGACGCAAACTCCTGGAATTCCTAACAGCCTTGCAGCTTGAAACTGCATTATATGGTAGTGTAGACCAGGCATGGGCAAGCTTGGGCCCTTCCAAGTGTTTCGGACACAAACTCTCAGAATTCCTAACAGCTCGAAACTGCATTATATGGTAGTGTAGACCAGGCATGGGCCAGCTTGAGCCCTCCAGATGTTTTGGACTCCCAACTCCTGGAATTCCTAACAGCCTTGCAGCTTGGAACTACATTATATTGTAGTGTAGACCAAGCTTGGGCCCGCCAAGGGTTTTGGACTCCCAACTCCCAGAATTCCTAACAGCCTTGCAGCTCATAACTGCATTATATGGTGGTGTAGACCATATAATAATAATAATAATAATCTTAATGTGACAGAAGTTTTACTGTCTTGTGAAAGTAGCTTTTTGAATGCAAATTGGCCAAAGCTCGTGGATGATATCCCATTGGGAGAGAATGAATTAAATCAGCCCAAACAAACATGTCAAGGTCTCTATCCTGATATAATAATGGCCTCACTACCTCTGAGGATGCTTGCCATAGATGCAGGCGAAACGTCAGGAGAGAATGCCTCCAGAACATGGCCATATAGCCCGAAAAAACCTACAACAACCCAGTGATTCCGGCCATGAAAGCCTTCGACAATACATGACCACATTGCTAAGAGACTCTTTACAGAGACTGTCAAACCACATTGTCTATAACAGATCCATTTCTTCGCTAACCACTTTTAAGAATTGGTTAATTGACCCATATGTGTGTGGGCGCACATGCACCTTTTAGTCATCTGCCAAGGTATGGCAAACTCATGGATTTCAGAAGGTTTCTTAGGCAAGGAATAGGCGGTCACCAGATATTTGTTGATGGTCTCCAATCCTCGTACTAAGCAGGGTTGAGTCTGCTTACCTTCCAAAATGAGAGGGGCTCTAGTGGTCCCCTTCAGATATATTATACAAGATCGATTAATATCTATGGAATAAACAACAGTATTTATTACAGTCCATAGACCCATCAATAAACAAACAGTCATTTAAAATTCTCCCATCTCAGGATATATTTATTGTACAAGTTAACATCTATGGAATAGCATAATGCCACATTATTTATCAAAGCATTTCTAACAAAGGTCTAAATGCACTGAAGACTCATCTGCTTTTGGAAACTAAGCAGGATCAGCCTTGGCTAATACTTGGATGGCAGATTGTCAAGGTGCTGTAGGCCAGGGTTTCTTAACATTTTCACTCACAGCCACTGTCTACTTGAGAATATTTTATGATATGACCCCAGGTATATCAATATATAAAATAGGTATAAAAATAAAACATTTGGGGGGAAATTATTTTATTAATTATTTGACACAAACAATCTAATATACAATCAGAAAATATACATTCAAAAACAATGAAACATATTCAAATGGCAACTTGAGCAAAATAAGTATAACATATTTTACCATTCACACAAATTCAATACATTTTCAGAGCAAAATCCATGCAAACTATTCCTAACTAGAATTATTGGTTAATATATTTTAGGAAAAATTGTTTCCCTCTGGATAATAGCAATAGTGCCACCAGCTACTCTCCCCTACATATCATATGCAAAAATCTGAATGTAATTTTTTAAAAGAAACTCCTTGCAAGTCAGGAAATATACCTTCACGATAAGAGAATTTCAGAATATGTCTAAAGACATCATGATATCACATTAATAAAAAACCCCATCAGAATGAGAACAAGCAATAAAGTATTTTCTTGTGACGTGAGCTTTCTGACTGTTTTACATACACAAGTATGGATAACTGTAAAAGCCTGTTGGCTTAAATTGAAATATGTTTAAAATAAAACATTTATTTGTATTTCTTGCTAAACAGGCTGACTTTCCTATTTAGGGAGTACAGCTGAAGCATATTATTATTAACAGATTTGTGTAAATAGGTGGTGCTCAGAACCCTTTTACTGTTGCCAACATGAGCAACGGGAAATTTAATGCCAGGGCCCACAATTTAAGAAGCAGTGCTGTCAGCTATATTATATATATAAAAAAAAAACAAATGGCAAATTGCTTCTGGGCAATTGTCTCTGAAAACTTCATGGTATGACATTGCCATTGGTCAACAAGACACTTTGAAAGTGCACACAGATACACACAAACATGGGATAGGATACTCCACAAGTTGGTTATGTGGGCCTAGAAGTCCCTAGGAAGAAAAGTACAAGTATTAAAATGATGGCATTTCAGAGTTTCCTTACATTGACGTTGGCTTACTAGAGAGATGCTTGCATGCAATAAGATAGCTATATACACTAATCTAATGTTATCCTTTATGCTCTATCCAAAATTTATTGCTTCTGTGTTGAAAGGCATAGAAATAAGTCAGAGTTACCATTCAAACCAAAGAGCAAAAGACTATAACTTCTTTCCTTTTCTCTCTTCTTGTCTGCAGAGAATTGGGAATCGCTCTTTCTAAGCACTATCCCTTATACAGGAAGTTTATCATCCCACTTGGGGATATAGGCTATGAATTTCTGGTCCTGCTTCTCCAATATTGCCTTCTCTTCTGCCTTCCACTATTGTCTTGAGCCATGCAGCTTAATTGGAGTTTTGTCCATCATACTTCCTAGATTGGAGAAGTACAGTAGCAGGAATGGCAGTTCTAGACGGAGCTGGGAGAGAGCTGCTAACACTGGTTTAAAGAAAACATTGAGCCCAGAGTGTTCAAGACCCATAACCAGTTCATTGCTACACTTTAGAGCTCATATAGGCACTGAAGACTAGGTTTTAAGCTCTCGTAAAAAAAATCTATGGCTGGACTGGGACTGACTAATCTCCAAAGAACACATTGTGTTTTGGCTGGAACTGGTGTTTAAAAATGTTAACTAAATAAAACATCAGTAAGAATCTGTTTAAACAATTCAAACAGAAGTATGGGAATGTAGACATTGAAGATGTGGTGTGTGTGAGAAGCATTCTGGTAACCTCCCTTACTCCAGCAATCATGAGGTATAAAGTTTGAAAAAGAACCGATTTGTGCAACTATGTTGCTTTGCATGAACATTGTTTTAGTAGTTCACATGCTTTTTCTTACAAAGCAGGTTTCATTCTTCTGCTTGTATGTTAATTGTCTCTCAACCCTTTTATCTTGTCACTAGGCTGCTCTGTGATGCTTATTGCACTCGATTAGGGATCGTTTCTCAGAATCAAGGAGTTAGAAGTAAGCTTTCAGATAAGTGAGGCCCCCAACAGTGCCATTTTTCGACTCGGAAGGGGAAAATGGAGCTGTCAGGAATGAAAAAGAAGAGTTTGCTAGGCATCAAAGAGAATAATAAAAAGTCCAGCACTAGGTAATTGTCTGAATTTTAAAGGCATAAACCCCTTGGGAGGGTGTCTCTGCACCTAATAGTCTTTCTCAGTAACCATGTGGGTTTAAGAAATGCATATTTCCTCAATTCATAATTCTAGTGTATTCATAAAGTTGCTTCTTAATGTAAATGTTGGAATGCATCATTACCATTCTGATGGTGTCACAGTGTTGTTCTTACTTCTATTGATAATGGAAGTTGTGGGAAATGTAATTTGCTATCCTCTGTCCATTAAAGGGCTCCCTCTCCAACCAAACGCAAGGACCGGACTGAAGAAAAATCCAAAGACAGGTCCAAGGACAAACCAGCCACAAAGGAGTCAAGTGAAAAGGATCGTGGGCGGGACAAAACTCGAAAAAGGCGCAGTGCTTCCAGTGGCAGCACTAGTACAAGGTGAGTGGAATAACTAATAATGAATTTTGGGTTATTTTTTTAAAATGACATGTTGTGAATTATGTCTTCCAGAGATGATTAAGCAGCAAAACAGACATCTGTTCAGAGGGAGCGTACTCTTAGCAGTCACATGCTAGAAATGCATCATGAATGTGTTTAAACATGACAATGAATCACAGTATGGTTTATTGAAATCTGGCCTGAAGTGAGACTCCTCCACAAACCAGAATCTGGTTCATAACTTCTTGTTGTGTACAGTTTATCTAAACCATGACTTGTCATGGTGTTTGGTTCTGTAACTTTGGCTTTTCCCTGGCTTGTTTTCTCTTTCAGAAATTTGAGCCAAATAAAATAGGAGGTGGAGGACAAAAGCAAACCAGAGACAAATCAGAAATTGCAAGCCTAGAGCTACCAAGTTAACAGAAAGCATGGCTTGCTGAGCTATGTAGACACAGAACCAGAGAATCCAAGAAGTGGAAGAGAGCACAATGTCATCTAAGTCCAGCCCCCCCCCCCCCCCCCCCCCCCCCCCCCCCCCCCGCCGCCGCCGCCGCCGCCGCCGCCAAACTTGGACACACAGCTAAAACTTACTGATACGTGTGTCCTATGTGTTTGGAAAGGGCTAAAACTATCTCTATTGTACCTCCTCTGAATACAAATTAGAAAAGCTGCCAGTTAGGAGTTGGAGTAAGTGTATCATTCTCAGCACCCTTCACAAGTTTTCAGGATACCAGATAGGAAGACTTGCTTATATGAAGTGTACATGACTCGTTTCTTTCGTGTCTCTGCCAGATCTCGGTCCAGTTCTACTTCCAGTTCGGGTTCCAGCTCCAGCACTGGCTCCAGCAGTGGGTCAAGCTCCTCTTCTGCATCAAGCCGTTCTGGGAGCTCCAGCAGTTCCCGCAGCTCCAGTTCCAGCAGTTCTTCAGGCTCCCCGAGCCCTTCCAGGCGCAGGCATGACAACAGGAGACGATCTCGCTCAAAGTAAGTTGGAATTATCCGTGGAGTGGATTTTATAAAAGCCTGCATGCTTGCAATCCTAACAGTTTATATTTTCCTGGGGGTATTCATTGATGCAATGTTTTTGAAATTGTTTGCTGACTGATCTAAGGACATTTCCTGTCTTGTGCTTTGTTCTCTTTTGGCCTCAGCAAAAGCAAGTTGTAACAGGACATTTTTTCCATTTGAAACCATCTGTGGGGAGTGCTTCGGTTGTTTCTTCCTTCATGGCAGGGAATTGGACTGTGGTCTCCTCAAGCTCTATGATTCTCAATAGGAAGGAGCAATGAAAAAAAGAACCAATGTCCATGTTCTTTTCGCTTCTTTCCTAGGCTCTCTTAGTCTCTTGTAATATGTTGACGTCCATAATGTATTGTTTGTCACAACGTGAATCAAAAGGAACAGCTGATTGAGTTTTATGAGTCTTGTTTGCCTCTCTGTTACATCACGGATCTTCTTCATCATGAGATACAAACATCTTAGGCTCAGCAATTATGACAAGGAATCACCTATTACCACATGTCTCTCCTTTCTCTGGACATTCCTAGTAGCCCTTCCATCCACAGAACCCTTCAAGATCCTTTGTGCCTTTGGTTCATAATCTCCTCTTAAAGAGGAGAGCTTCAAATCAGTTATGTTATTCCAAAAATACCCATGGTTTTTGAGTGGACTTCTGTTTGTGTCAGTCCTCCAAGGGTCTTATTCTCATGTATTTTTTATTACTAGAAGCATCCCCATTTCTTGCCCTTCTATATGAGTCTGCTCTACTTTTCCCCTGATAAATTGAAGTGTACGTCCTCAGACCTCAAACTGCTGTATCTTCTCCAGCAAAGTAACCAACTCACACTTACTGCAAGGTTTATTCTAGGACTCTTCACCCTACAAACCCCAAAACACATTTTTACCTTCCCTCTCCATTGTAATATACATTTGTTCTTTATGAATTAAATGTATTTATTTTGTGTCAAAAGCATTGCATACATAAGTATAAAACCGAGAAAAATAGAAGGAGCACAAGCAACTAAATAATTTTTGACCAAAACTGGGCAACAGCAACCACATTGCCTGTAGATTTAAACAATTCTTCTGTACATGAGACAGCATTGTGAACAATCATTCAAGTGTGGAGTTGTTTGTTCTGCTTCACAGTCACAGAAGGTGAAGGAAGCTTTTAGGTAGTGCCATTTTGCCAGGTTGTCTTTTGGCCTGCCCACTCCACTTCTGAGTCTGTTGAGGGACTTCCACGTTTCCCATTCTTGGTTTGCCCCTGAACGAAGACCCTTATGAGAGACCATCCATTTGGGATTTCCTGGTTTAGCTGCCCAAAGGGGGAACATTAAGATGAGTCGTTGTTCTTATGAAGCTATTCCTTGATTTGAGTCTACTGGGAGGAAGCTGATAGCCATGCAATGGATGGCTTTCACAGTGTTCAACCTTATTTCTCAAAGTTAGCAGCAACTTCCCATCGCATGTTGGGGGGAGGGGGCAATGCCACCTAGCTTGTAGAGTCTATCAACAGGTGTAGGTTTGAGACATCCTGTGATTATTCTGCATGTTTTGTTCAGTGCTATGTTCACCTGCTTTGCATGAACAGACTTACACCAAACAGGGCAGGCATACTCGGCAGTTGAGTAAGACAAGGCCAGAGCTGATGTTCTTATTAATTTTGGGTCTGCACCCCATACCCTGCTAATAAGTTTCCGCAGGATGTTGTTGCATGCAGCTACTTTGTGCTTGGTGTTAATGCAGGGTGTCCTATATGTTAGTGTTCAATCTAAGGTGACACCAAGATATTTAGGATGGAAACAATGTTCAAGCTCTTGGCCTTCCCAGGTAAATTTTAATTTCCTGTTGGCTTCATGGTTCTGTAGGTGGAAAACACACTATGTCTTGGCAGGGTTAGGCCATATTTGTAGTAGCTGGAAAGATCTTTCAAGGCATTAGTAAGTTGGCTCTCTACTATTTCAAAATCTTTTGCTTGTGATGTTAGACCAAGGTCATCAACATCAGCACTCTTTGTGAGTAGTGGTTGTGGTTGATCATTAGTAAAGATGTTAAACAAGGTCAGTGCAAGAACCCTGCCTTGGGGTAAACCATTCTTTTGTCATATCCTTCCTCAACATATGAATTAAATACTTTCCTTAGATTGACCAATATGGATTAACCAATTTTAGGGGGTTTGTCTGTCTCAGGCCTGCATAATCCAGGTGTTTGGGGCTCCCAACTCCCCAAAGCCCTAGCCAGCTTGCCAGGAATTCTGGGAGCTGTAGTCTGAAACGTTTGATGGCCCATAGATTGGACAGACCTAGTCTATCTAATGCTCATTCTTTGGAGTCTGTAGTAGGCTGCTTCTGAATTGAGATTTCACTAAATAGTATTATTTTTTATTATGTTTCTTTATACCATGTTTTTTCTCCACAAGGAGATTCAAAGCAGCTATCACAAAAAGATCCTCCTAAATCCCTCTGAAATCAATTTATGGCATTCTTGCTCTCTGTAATGCCAAGTGGCTCTTTCACAAACCTTTTAAAATGTAGCATGAATTCAGGTGAAGAATGTGAAATTTAAAAGCCATTGTCTTTTTTATAATGTGAATATCTGTGCTTAATAACCCAACTAATTTTGTGGAGACTACTACGTGAGGACATTGATTTATTTTGTTTTTATTTCAGGTCTAAGCCACCCAAAAGAGATGAAAAGGAGAGAAAGAGAAGGAGCCCATCACCCAAACCCACCAAAGTACATATAGGGAGACTGACTAGAAATGTGACCAAGGTAACTGCAAGTCATTCGGTTGTTGTGAGGAAAAACATGAAAAGAAGACACTGGTACTGGTCATCTTAGTCCATATTTAACATGATTATGGGGTATTTGTGGTGTACTTACTTGTAAAAAAGTTAGTTCCTACAGGGAAAATAGGAAGCCATCTGGTTAGATTATAGTTGCAGAAAGAAATCTTTCTTAACATCTGCAACCTGTTCTTTTGAACCAGGGATGCCCAGTACTGAACTTTAGAATTGCAATTAAGTCTGATTTCACCATCACCTGTGTCCATACCAGTTGTTGTTGTTCATTCGTTCAGTCGTCTCCGACTCTTCGTGACCTCATGGACCAGCCCACGCCAGAGCTCCCTGTCGGCCGTTACCACCCCCAGCTCCCTCAAGGTCAGTCCAGTCACTTCAAGGATGCCATCCATCCACCTTGCCCTTGGTCGGCCCCTCTTCCTTTTTCCTTCCATTTTCCCCAGCATCATTCTCTTCTCTAAGCTTTCCTGTCTCCTCATGATGTGGCCAAAGTACTTCAACTTTGTCTCTAGTATCCTTCCCTCCAATGAGCAGTCGGGCTTTATTTCCTGGAGGATGGACTTGTTGGATCTTCTCGCAGTCCAAGGCACTCTCAGAACTTTCCTCCAACACCACAGCTCAAAAGCATCGATCTTCCTTCGCTCAGCCTTCCCTAAGGTCCAGCTCTCACATCCGTAGGTTACTACAGGGAATACCATGGCTTTGACTAGGCGGATCTTTGTTGCCAGTCTGATGTCTATACTCTTTACTATTTTATCGAGACTGGACATTGCTCTCCTCCCAAGAAGTAAGCGTCTTCTGATTTCCTGGCCACAGTCTGCATCTGCAGTAATCTTTGCACCTAGAAATACAAAGTCTGTCATGGCCTCCACGTTTTCTCCCTCTATTTCCCAGTTGTCAATCATTCTTGTTGCCTTAATCTTGGTTTTTTTGACGTTTAGCTGCAACCCGGCTTTTGCGCTTTCTTCTTTCACCTTGATTAGAAGGCTCCTCAGCTCCTCCTCGCTTTCGGCCATGAGAGTGGTGTCATCTGCATATCTGAGGTTGTTAATGTTTCTTCCAGCAATTTTCACCCCAGCTTTGCATTCATCCAGCCCCGCACATCGCATGATGTGTTCTGCATACAAGTTAAAAAGGTTGGGTGAGAGTATGCAGCCTTGCCGTACGCCTTTCCCAATCTTGAACCAGTCTGTTGTTCCGTGGTCAGTTCTGACTGTTGCTACTTGGTCCTTGTACAGATTCCTCAGGAGAGAGACAAGGTGGCTTGGTATGCCCATCCCACCAAGAACTTGCCACAATTTATTATGATCCACACAGTCAAAGTTTTAGGTTACTTAGAATGTAGATCTCTGGCAGAAGCATCTATATTTATCTGAATTCAGTATGGTAAGAATTCAGCAGGGTATGTTGCAGGAATTCCTCCTCCCTTTTAGCTTTTTGCCTCAGCAGCTGAAGAAATTGAAATTTGTCATGTTCATTAAAGGAACCTTTTCCCTACAGGACCACATCATGGAAATATTTTCCACTTACGGAAAAATAAAAATGATTGATATGCCGACCGACAGGCTCAATCCACACCTCTCCAAGGGTTATGCCTATGTTGAATTTGAGAATCCAAACGATGCAGAGAAGGCACTGAAGCACATGGATGGAGGTATGTGTCAGAAAGTAAAAGACTCTAGAACTGTGCATCATATAGTCTCCTGCGTTGCTTAGTCTGAAATCCGAGAGGCCCAGGACCTCTTGTTAATTGTAACTGTTACTCTTAATATTTAATACATTTTATATAAAAACACTTTGTTTTTTATAAAACCACCTTGTCTATAAGAGTGATTAGTTGCTCTATAATCCAGTCAAACTAGCTAGTTGGTTCAGTCTCTGTAATCCAGTCAAACTGGTTAATTTTTATTTTGGGAGGGGGGGTGAACCAACACAGTTGAATGTCCTGCTCCAAATGCAAGAGTTACTAGGCAGAGTGGTTTATCCCTCTTTCCTACATGTGGTTTTGGAAAAATGGCATTCATAACCTTTTTGAAAAGAAAAAATGATGTCATGTCCTTTTGACAAATGTGAATCTCCATGACCATCTGGAGATCACTTTTTGAAAACCACTAATCAAGGAAAGGCATGACCTTGTTAGAAGTCAACCCTTTGAAAAATGATGTTCACAAGCATTCATGTAATGGCACACAGGTAACTCAGCTGTTAAACCGATAAACCATGTCTTTTGAACTGCCAGGGACAACATGCCACTGCACACAAAAAAAGAAAACATATACCGTACTTAGCTAGCAGAGTTTGAAATGTTTCTTTGAAGTTCAAGTTGAAATTGCAGTTGCCCAAAACATATACTATCCCTTGAAACCTCTTAGTTTAAAATATGCATTCAGAGACCAAACAAATCCAGTCTTCTTTAAAAAGCATCATATCTTATTTGCTCATAAACATCTTGTTTTAATTCAGCATACAGGCACATTTATAGATAGGATGTAGTTTCTCTGTGCTGAGAACACAGGGAATCATTCTTAATCAATGGTCCATGTTCCAAAGCCTTTAAGTATACATCTTATGAAAGTCCAAACTGTATAACTGTACTGACTGCTTCTCAAAGCAAACATAGTAAACTTCCTGCATAAGTCCAAATGCAAACTGCTTCCACTGAAGTCCGAAAGCATATTGAACCCACCTCCACTGAGGTCTAGAACGAACTAACATCGAACTGCTAACATCGAAGTCCAAAATCATACTGATAACAAAATGGAATCTTGAGTCTGAACATGCTCAGTACAATCACGTCTGTAATACTTCCCACACCAAAGAGCTCAGTCAAACTGGTCAAACAGTATATACATATGGTACAGGCTAGCAAATAAATACATGAACAAACAGTGAAGGCTTGGAAGGTTGCTATTTTCAACATGTGTAATTCTGTGGAATGGATCATTCCATATTCCAGCCACACCCGTTTTAAGTGTCTATGGGTCTTCATATGCAGATAGTTATTTTCTAAACTACCAGAACTACCAGAATGCGAACACTGAGTAATTTGCTGTAAGTTTTTCGGGCTGCATGGTCACATTCCAAAAGCAGGAGAGAATGCCTCTGGAACATGGCCATGCAGCCCGAGAAACTTACAGCAACCCAGTGATTCCGGCCACGAAAGCCGTTGACTGAGTAGTTTCCTTCCCATTGTTGTACTGGGATCTGATATGAAAAAGAAATGTCTAGACCAGGTGTGGGCAAATTTCAGCCCTCACTCTAGGTGTTTTGGATTTCAACTCCCACAATTCCATGGAGACAGGGCTGAACTTTGCAAATGCCTGGTCTAAAAAGAGCTTCGATGTAGAAATAGCATTAATTATTGTTTGCTTGTAACTGTCAACAGGACAGATTGATGGCCAGGAGATAACTGCCACGGCTGTTTTGACGCCTTGGCCGAGGCCCCCGCTCAGGCGTTTCTCTCCTCCCAGAAGGATGTTGCCACCGCCACCAATGTGGCGCCGCTCTCCGCCTCGCATGAGAAGAAGGTCAGTGATCTTCATGGGACTATAAGACAGAGATGGGCTGCGACTATGTAGAATTTCTGGTATTACAGCTCATCTTATGCCCGTGTCTCAAAAGGGTGAAATGTTAGGAAAACTTTGCGGTGAAGGGTGGAATAGAAAGGTTTTTAATAGCAAAATATATGAAGGAAATTAGATTGGCATAAATCTCAATTAGAATGCCTTTCTTTGCAGGTCCAGGTCTCCAAGGCGCCGGTCCCCTGTTCGGAGGCGATCCAGGTCCAGATCTCCAGGCCGAAGGCGGCACCGTAGTCGTTCCAGTTCTAATTCTTCCCGATGAAAGGCAGGACCGTGTCCGCTGCTTCTTCTTTCTTTCATTTGTTTGTTCTTTTTTTCTTAAAATTTTTCAAAATAAAAGTGCATCCAGTTTAAAATTGTACCTTTAAAGGGTAAGGAATGGGAGAGAAGGGAAACCGGGAAACAGAAAACTAACTAATGTTGGTCCCAACCGGCAGTGAATGAAGCTCCTTTCATTGCCCAGAGTGATTTTTAAGGGAGCTTTGATTCTGTTGAGATAGCTTTATTTCAAAGTGACGCCTCTCTTCCCATTCATGGTCTCCTCTCTGTTTTTAAGACAGGTGAAGCCAAGAACGTTGCAAGTAAAATTGAAATGTAAGGAAGATATTTGAGAGTCAGATTAAAACCTTTCAAAATCTCATAATGTCCCTTCTCCCAGATTTTAAATACATTTTTTTTGTTTTCACCKAAAGCAGATGTTGATTTGTCTACTATGACAAACCTAACAATAAAGTTTGCAGACAAACACATAGAAGAGAAAAAACTCTTGCTGTCGTTTTTCAAACTTGAAAAAGGTTTTCTTGTAAGGTCTCTCTTTTGGTACATGGTTCATAATATTTCCCATTTTGTCTGTATGTAAATACTGTAGCAGATGTAAAGTAGAGATGTGACTTCCCACACTCCTTTCTCTGGGGGAGTGGTGATCAGAGACAAACAGGAGTGGCTTAGCTTGAGTTTGCTTAAACCTGCAAGATTTTCAGCCTAATGTACAGTCATTATTATGATGTTTTGATTTTTTTATTACTTTGTAGCATCTTGTAATCGGGTTGTGTTTGTACCTTAGAATGGTAACATTAAATAAACCAGTGTGGTTTTGAATACATTGGCGCATTCTCTTATTCCGGTGTTGGACAGCTTCCTTCTGTATAAAATTGCAACCACTTGATCTTGCAATAGCAGTATTGACATTTACCAATTTTGAAAACTGAGCTAGTGCAAAGGGGGAAAAAGGTGTAAGTAAACCAGGGCTGTCAAAACCAATTGTGTATTGAAGAATACATCAGCCTTATGGTTGCCTTGAAAGGGCTGTTGAAACCATATATTTAAAATGCACACCTGCATATTTTTGCTAGTGCAATTAAGCAACATTTAATGACATTCACACTGTGTATTTTATATCTCTGAAACATAGTCCCTTTGATGGTTCAAAACTCCAGTGAGCAACGCTTCACAGATTTTGAAATCAAGATGATAACAGCAACAATGATGATAGCTAACATTTGCTGCTCTTTCAGGGCCTGTATGTGTGTGTGTGTGTGTGTGTGTGTGTGTGTATATATATATATCAGGAGGTCAAGATGGTGTCGTCAGGATAGGATGTGATTTAATGGGCTCTGGCATTTTTGTTTTTCTTACTCCCTCTCCTTGAAATGGGAAACAGAAAATGCAATAGGACTAGCCCTGAGTCAACAACACACCATAAGGCTTCTAAACTATTGAAAATTGATGAACTCTTCGGAGAGGGAACTGTGAGTATACCTGATTTAAACGCCCAGTTTGAAATTACTACTGACAACAATGCTACTCCTTTAACTCTTCATGATAAAGTATATATATCATATTCATGTCTGCCACCTCAAGCAGCAGAGCTGGACCTGGAAAAAGTTGGTTTGCAAAGCAAGGTGAAAACGAAGCAATTGAAAAAAATCCAATTAAGAAATTGCATTTTAAAAAATTCCCCCGAGTTTTTTTATTGCTTTCCTAAACCCTTCCACTCTTTTTAAATATTTTACTAAGAATTTATATAGATTTTATACGATTCTATTTGGTAACAAATGTTTTTATATTGTTTAATTAATGGCTTATGTATTTTATGTATTTCAATGGTTTGATGGTTTGTTTAATGGTTATTGCATTAATTGTTAATGTAACAGCATCGAATTGCTGCCTATGTAAGCCGTCCTGAGTCCCCCTTTTGGGGTAGAGAAGAGACAAGATATAAATACCAGAAATAAATAGATAGATAATGTTGTTGTTGTTCATTCGTTCAGTCGTCTCCGACTCTTCGTGACCTCATGGACCAGCCCACGCCAGAGCTCCCTGTCGGCCGTTACCACCCCCAGCTCCCTCAAGGTCAGTCCAGTCACTTCAAGGATGCCATCCATCCATCTTGCCCTTGGTCGGCCCCTCTTCCTTTTGCCTTCCACTTTCCCCAGCATAATTGTCTTCTCTAGGCTTTCCTGTCTCCTCATGATGTGGCCAAAGTACTTCAACTTTGTCTCTAGTATCTTTCCCTCCAGTGAGCAGTCGGGCTTTATTTCCTGGAGGATGGACTGGTTGGATCTTCTCGCAGTCCAAGGCACTCTCAGAACTTTCCTCCAACACCACAGCTCAAAAGCATCGATCTTCCTTCGCTCAGCCTTCCCTAAGGTCCAGCTCTCATATCTCATAGATAGATAATAACACATTATTTATTTATTTACTATATTTATATCCCGCCTTTCTTGACCCTGAAGGGAACTCAAGGCGGCTTTCAACTTAGGCAATAATTCAATGCCTTAAAAACAATAGTCATCCAATATACAATTAAACTAGCTGTACCCTGCCATGCGTTGCTGTGGCCCTCAGATAAGAGAGGAATTCCAGTTGAAGCAATAGATAGAAGGGACAGATGGAAGGGACATTAATAGATGGAACAGAAGGTAAATGGAGAGAACATAGAGATAGGTAGGTAGGTAGTAGGTAGATAGATATGTAGATGGAGTGACTGATGGATTGAAGGATGGATGGACATACAGACAGACAAAGGGGGTTGGACTGGATGGCCTCTGGGACTCCCTTCCAACTGGTTGACCATCTGTTGGGAGGGCTTGGATGGTGTCTTCCTTTACTGTAAAATGAGGTTGGACTGGATGGCCTTTGGGGCCCCTTCCTATCCCTCAAAGGGTTTCCCGCGCCCGTCCTTCCGTGCGTGGCATCCAAGGTCCCCTTCCTTCCCCGGCGGAGAACTAAAGAATTAAATATTTTATAATGAAAATATTAAAATATGTTTAAATTAAACAAATATTTTAAACTTAAAATATCTAAATGAAGTATTCAAAAGTTAAATATTTTTAAATGAAAATAATTAAATATTTTAAAATTAAATAAGTATTTTATAATTAACATGTTCCCAAAAATATTTTGAAAGGGTTATATACATTTATAGATATATATTGCCAATTATGACATAGCTGTATGGATTCATTGGGCCAGTTCAATTTTTTGTAGTTCTTTGGGATAGATTTTTATGTGTCATATCATTGACTTAAAGCCTATTAGAGTTGATATATTTTTTATTATTATTATTATTATTATTATTATTATTATGCTATTTGATCCTATATGCTTGGGATGCTATATTTGTAGAATGAATGGTGTCTTCCTGCCTGGCAGAATGGGGTTGGAATTGGATGGCCATCTGTTGGGAGGGTTTGAATGGGGTCACTCCTGCCTGACATGAATAGGATTGGGGTTTCTGTATTCTGAGCCTGGGTTATCAATGGATCTGCTCTGAGCTTGATTGCTTTTGCTTCCGCAGAGTTTCCTTTCTCCCAAATCCATCCCATTGGCAGTAGATTAGTCGGGTCTGGAGAGATGAATTTTGGAGAGGCAGAGCAGCCTAGGCAGCATGGAAAGGGTAGCGGCAGAGAGGCAGTGAACTGGGAGCCTTCTCCCGTGGGAGCCTGCTGTGCACGTGCACTCCTTCCCTCCCCCCTCCCTCCCTGAGGCTTACTTTCTGAGGGGGGAGGGAGGGGAAGTGTTTTTTGGGGGTTTTTTTGAGTGGAGGACATAAATTGGACTGTTAGGTGTCTTGTGTCCAAATTTGGTGTCAATTCCCCCAGTGGTTTTTGAGTTCTGATGGCAGCACAAACGAACATTACATTTTTATTTATATAGATAAACATTTCAATTAAAAATTAAAAATAAGATTAGAAAATATTAAAACATTTAAAACATTACAATTACTACTATAAACCACACTATCTGCAATCAAAGTCCATGATGTTCTGGAAGTCATTGCACATAATTCCAAATTCATCTATTTCATTATTCACCATGTTTTCACTCGCTTTCTGGAGGTCAGGAGGGAAGGGGCTGATTTAATATCGCTGGGGAGGGAGTTCCACAGCTGAGGGGCCACCACAGAGAAGGTCCTGCCTCTCATTCCTACCAATTGCGTCTGCGAAGGAGGCGGGAAAGAGAACAGGGCCTCTCTGGAAGTTCTTAATCTCCAAGATGCTTCAGAGGAGGAGATAAATTCGGACAGGTAAATTAGGCCGGAACCATTTAGAGCCTTATAGGCCAAATCCAGCACTTTGATTTGATCTCGGTAGCAGACTGACAGCCAGTGGAGCTGACGTAAAGAGGGTTGTATGCTCCCTGTACACCACTCTGGTGAGCAATCTGGCTACTGCTCCCAGGACCATTTCCACTACCGTGGCAGCCACCTCTCCACAAAAGTCAACATTGACACTAAAAAATACACTACCTGAGCTCTGCGAGTGCAGCATTTTTCCGAATGAAGCAGAGAGTGTTTGAGGGATACCAAGGTGCTTGTTTATAAAGCTATTGTCCTCCCAACACTGCTATATGCCTGAGAAATGTGGACTGTCTACAGACGTCACATGCAACTCCTGGAACGATGCCATCAGCACTGCCTCCGGAAAATCCTGCAAATCTCTTGGGAAGACAAGCGGGCAAATGTCAGCGTGCTGGAAGAAGCAAAGACCACCAGCACTGAAGTGATGGTCCTCCGCCATCAACTTCCTTTGCTGGACTGGCCATGTTGTCCGGATGCCCAACCACCATCTCCGAAAGCAGTTGCTCAACTCCAAACTCAAGAATGGAAAACAGAATATTGGTGGGCAGGAAAAGAGATTTAAAGATGGCTCAAAGCCAACCTTAAAAACTCTGGCATAGACACTGAGAACTGGGAAGCCCTGGCCCTTGAGCACTCTAGCTGGAGGTCAGTTGTGACCAGCAGTGCTGTAGAATTTGAAGAGGAACGAATGGAGGGTGAAAGAGAGAAATGTGCCAAGAGGAAGGCGTGTCAAGCCAACCCCCAACTGGGACCACCTTCCACCTTGAAACCAATGTCCTCACTGCGGGAGAAGATGCAGGTCAAGAATAGGGCTCCAGTCACCTACGGACCCACCACCAGGACACCGATCTTGGAAGACTATCCTACTTGGACAACGAAGGATCGCTTAAGTAAAGTTCTCCAAATGTACAAATTAATTATTCAAACTCGCATCTTCATTGTTCCTTATTTCTTTTTGTTGTTATTTCCTCTTTCCTCCCTTCATTTCTCCCCCACCCCCTCCTTTATTGTTTCTTTCCCTCTCCAAAGGGCTTCACTGAAGGAAATATAATAAAGCAGGGCAATATTCCATTCTGGCCACAGGATGGCGGCAAAGAGCTGCCTGGCTGCTAATGGAGATGCTGTCTCTATTATAAAAAGGTGCAATTGTCTGTACCTTTAAAGCAGGCATGGGCCAAATTGATCCCTCCAGGTGTTTTGGACTTCAACTCCCACAATTCCTAACAGCCTCAGGCTCCTTCCTTAAGRGGCTGATGGGCAAAAGGAAAGGGCCCGAGGCTGTTYGGAATTGTGGGAGTTGAAGTCCAAAACACCTGGAGGACCAAGTTGGCCCATGCCTTTGTTGTTGTTGTTCATTCATTCAGTCACTTCCGACTCTTCATGATCTCATGGACCAGCCCACGCCAGAGCTCCCTGTTGGCTGTCACCACCCCCAGCTCCTTCAAGGTCAAGCCAGTCACTTCAAGGATACCATCAATCCATCTTGTCCTTGGTTGGCCCCTCTTCCTTTTTCCTTCCATTTTCCCTAGCATAATTGTCTTCTCTAAGCTTTCCTTTCCTGTCTTCTCATGATGCGGCCAAAATACTTCATCTTGGCCTCTACTATCCTTCCCTCCAATGAGCAGTCGGGCTTTTAGATCTTCCAAGGCACTCTCAGAACTTTTCTTCAACACCACAGTTCAAAAGCATCTTTCTCCATCGCTCAGCCTTCCCTATGGTCCAGCTCTCACATCGTAGGTTACTACAGGGAATACCATTACTTTAACTATGCAGATCTTTGTTGCCAGTGCGATGTCTCTACTCTTCACTATTTTATCGAGATTGGTCATTGCTCTCCTCCCAAGAAGTAAGTGTCTCCTGATTTCCTGGCTGCAGTCTGCGTCTGCTGTAATCTTTGCACCTAGAAATACAAAGCCTGTCCCTGCTTCCACGTTTCCTCCCTCTATTTGCCAGTTATCAATCAGTCCGGCTGCCAGAATCCTTGCGCTTTCTTATTTCACCTTGATTAGAAGGCTCCTCAGCTCCTCCTCGCTTTCGGACATCAAAGTGGCATCATCCGTATATCTAAGGTTGTTAATGTTTCTTCCAGCAATTTTCACCCCAGCCTTGCATTCTTCAAGCCCGCACATTGCATGATGTGTTCTGCATACAAGTTGAATAGGTTGGGTGAGAGTATACAACCCTGCCGTACACCTTTCCCAATATTGAACCATACGAAAATATGAACCATATCATACGAAAGCTGACTGGCACAACCTGGGGATCACAACCAGATACAGTGAAGACATCTGCCCTTGCGCTGTGCTACTCTGCTGCTGAGTATGCATGCCCAGTGTGGAACACATCTCACCACACTAAAACAGTGGATGTGGCTCTTAATGAGACATGCCACATTATCACGGGGTGTCTGCGCCCTACACCACTAGAGAAATTACACTGCTTAGCCGGTATTGCACCACCTGACATCCGCCGGGAAGCAGCAGCCAATAGTGAAAGGACCAAGGCAGAAACATCTCCAGCTCATCCCCTGTTTGGGTATCAGCCAGCACGTCAACGACTTAAATCTAGAAATAGTTTTCTAAGATCTACAGAGACACTCGCTGGAACACCTCAGCAAGCGAGAGTCCAAAAGTGGCAGGCTCAAACCCAGAACCTCAACCAATGGCTGATACCAAATGAGAGACTCCCCCTGGGCACACAGAGGACTGGGCGACTTGGAAGGCGCTGAACAGACTGCGCTCTGGCACCACAAAATGCAGAACCAACCTTCAGAAATGGGGCTACAAAGTGGAATCCTCGACATGCGAGTGTGGAGAGGAGCAAACCACAGACCACCTGCTGCAATGCAACCTGAGCCCTGCCACATGCACAATGGAGGACCTTCTTGCAGCAACACCAGAAGCACTCCAAGTGGCCAGCTACTGGTCAAAGGACATCTAATCAACTACCAAACCTCACAAATTTTGTATTTTGTCGGTTTGTTTGCTTTGTTCTGTTAGAAATGTAATATATTTGACTGGTTGTCCTGACACGACAAATAAATGAATGAAAAATGAAAATCTTGAACCAGTCTGTTGTTCCATGGTCAGTTCTTACTGTTGCCACTTGGTCCTTATACAGATTCTTCAGGAGAGAGACAAGGTGATGTGTCCTTATGGAGATGCTGCCTCTATAATAAAAAGGGGTAATGGTCTGCAGCTTTAAATCAGGCATGGGCCAACTTGGGCCTTCCTCCGGGTGTTTTGGACTTCAACTCCCACCATTCCTAACAGCCTCGGGCCCTTTCCTTTGCCCCCTCAGCCGTTTAGGCGGCTCTATGCTTCTAGGTTTGTTTTGGACTTCAACTCCCAGAATCTCCAACATTGGCCGAGGCTGCCGAGGTTTCTGGGAGTTGCAGTCCAAAAAAGAGCGGGCCGAGTTCAAAGCCATTGGCTGGCTAGGGAAAACCAGCCAGCCAATAGGCGGCGGCGCAGCTCTTTCGACCTCCGGTCAAAGAGGTAACAAAGTGGGGGAGCGGTGGATTTTGGCGCTCTCAACACTTCCGGCATCTTTCGGCGCTTCCGGTTCGTTTTCTTCTCTTTTCAGCGTCTCTGAGGGCTCTCTCTGCCCAAGAAGGTGCCTTTTGCTTCCCTTCTGGAGGGAGGCGGCGTTCCTTGGGTTTATTTCGTTTTGGGGGGCATTTGGTTTCATAACGCTTTCTCTGAGAGTGTCTGCATTGTAGAATTGATGTGGTTTGATAACACTTTGGGACCTCCAGACTCTCCTAAGGAAGACTGTCAATTACGCCTGACTTGATACGTTTTCCCTTTTTTTTTCCTCTGCAGAAGGATATTTCTATTATTTTATTCTATTATTATAATATTATTGTTGTTAAATTATTTTATTTAAATATATTTAAATATATTTAAAATTAAATATACTGTATTATTATTTCTATTATTATTATCTATTAGATTTCTACTAGTGCATTATATATATATATTGTGGTATAATAATATAGTACAATATAATAATATAACAATTGTATATTATATGTTACATGTAAAATTACTAATATTGCAGTATAGTGGTATAGTACAATATAGTAATATATAATACTAATATTGTGTTATGCTAATAATATATCGTATATACATATAATATTGATAATAATATTATAATATACAATATAATACTAATACAATAATGCAACATTAGAGTAATAGTTTTTTTTTTGCTTATTGTAAATCCACTCTATATATTAACTGATAAGAAGAGATACTACACTTGATCTTAGCCTGACAACTGTAACATGGATTTGAAATATATAAGCATATTCATTAGAGCCTCAGTGAATCTGGGTCTAGAGAAAAAAGTAGGAAATACTATTATTATTAATCAAGGTATTAAACATAACAATGCAACATTGGACTAATAATTTTTCTGCTTATTGTAAATCCACCACATATTAAAAGGGAAAAAACTGACAACTCCAACATTGATTTGAAACATATAAGCCTATTTGACAGCCTATTTGGCATTCAGTATTATATCCCTCCAAATATCTTATAGGGAAAATAAATCTCATTGTTGCTAAGACATCATGTAATAGTTTGAGAAACCTTTCCCATGGTTTTATGATAGAACCAATGATAGAACCAATTGGGAAATGACTTTGGCATGACTTCTGTCTGCATGACTTCTATTCTTGGTTGGTAAAGAGCAGATCTTACGCTCCTTCCTCGACCTGATGATGGTAAAACAATATAACAAGATTGTCGAAGGCTTTCATGGCCGGAATCACTGGGTTGTTGTAGGTTTTTTCGGGCTATATGGCCATGGTCTAGAGGCATTCTCTCCTGACATTTCACTTGCATCTATGGAGCCCCCAGTGGTGCAGTGGATTAAAGCCCTGTGCCGGCAGGACTGAAGACTGACAGGTCGCAGGTTTGAATCCGGGGAGAGGCGGATGAGCTCCCTCTATCAGCTCCAGCTCCTCATGTGGGGACATGAGAGTAGTCTCCCACAAGGATGATAAAACATCAAAAAATCATCCAGGCATCCCCTGGGCAACGTCCTTGCAGACGGCCAATTCTCTCGCACCAGAAGCAACTTGCAGTTTCTCAGGCCGCTCCTGACACGACAAAAAAAAAAACTGCATCTATGGCAAGCATCCTCAGAGGTAGTGAGGTCTGTTGGAACTAGGAAAAAGGGTTTATATATCAGTGGAATGACCAGGGTGGGACAAAGGACTCTTGTCCCCTGGAGCTAGGTGTGACTGTTTCAACTGACCTCCTTAATTAGCATTTAATGGCTTGACAGTGTCTGGAGCAAACTTTTGTTGAGAGGTGATTAGATGTCCTTGTTTGTTTCCTCTCTCTTGTTGTGATTTCTGGAACCAGGAACAAGATTTCTGTTCCTGGTTTGAAAGTGTTATTTCCTGTTTAATTGAGTGGTCCTGGCTTTGAAAGCCATTGTTCTACTCCAGAAACTTCATTTTTGTGGCACATAATTCGTTGAATTGGTTGAGACTCTATCATAGGCATGGGCAAACTTCAGCCCTCTAGGTATTTTGGACTTCGACTCAGTCTCAGGTTGAAGTGATCAGTGTGTCTGCTGCCATCTTTGGCTCCTCTAATTCTAGGAATGTTCTTCTTGTTTTGCAGAAGTGACCCAGAAGAATGGATTCGGAACTGCTTCCAGTTCATCATACGGTTCAAGAAGCCATTGAAACTCTCTCTTCTTCTCGAGATTCCAGCCAGATCTCTCGGGCATTGCGGACGGTTAAGAGTTTTCTCGGCAAAACTGAAAATCCTGCTTCTGTGAAAGAGCAGGATGAATTTATCGGCCGACATTTTACCACCTTTTTGCAGTGTCTGATGAATAGCTTGAGCCCTGATTGGTTGGAGCAGTTCCAGTCAGATGAAGAGAAGGAACTGTGGGCCAGCTTTTTCCTAGAAGGACCAGCAGACCAGTCTTTTATGGTTCTTTTGGAAGCCATAATTTCTATAAGGTAAGCATGGATCCTGTCCTGTGATTTCTGTTTCTAGAATTAAAAGGACACTTCTGTTCACAAGCCTCTGTCCATGGAACGCCTTTTCTCAAAGACCTTTTGCATTCACTCAGCTCCTCCTACTGTTTCTCCTTTTCCTCTTACTAGCTGCAAGTTTTTAAGCAGTATTTGTATTGGGAGGAGGGTGAAGGAAGACTGGAGAAGCACGGATTTTCATTGCTAGGTTGCAGAAGGATATTCGAAGAAGGATGTTTGCAGTAAACAGTGCAATAAAAGCTGTAAAAGGGCAAGAGTCTTACCTGTTTTGCTCAAGTCAGTGTTCATGGAGTCATCTTGCATTGCCTACAACAGACAAGGTGCTTCCAGAATCCCGTACTGTGTATGTGTAAACAGGTAAAACAGAGAGGAAAGGGGAGGCTATATTGTTATTGGTAGTAGTAGTATTAATATTATTAGCCTGACCTATGAGTTACTCCAATGTGTTAAAAAGGCACAGGTCTGTAAATGTCACCATTAAGATAGAATTCCTATGAAAGGCAGAGGCTGGTGAAAGAAAAAAAACCCTGGATGCTTCGAGTGTCCTTGTGGAGAAAAAAAATGGGATATAATAACAACAGACTCTGGCACAAGCCAGTAAAGGTTGTCCTAGTGGTGATCAGCACACTGGGTGCAGTGCCTAAAGACCTTGGCCTGCACTTAAAAACAATAGACACTGACAAAATTACCATCTGTCATCTGCAAAAGGCCACCCTACTCGGATCTGCCCGCATTATTTGCTGATACATCATATAGTCTTAGACACTTAGGAAGTGTCTGACATGTAATCAAATACAAAAGCTAGCATTGTTTGCTGTGTACTAATCTTGTGTATCGAATAATAATAATAATAATAATAATAATAATAATAATAATAATAATACAAGAAGGATTCAAGTGATCTTTAGCAGGTTGAAAATGTTTTGCTTTACCGATATGAGAATTAGCTAATTTGGCTATTTTATTTCACATGTACATAGCTTTGAATCAAAAGTTTATTCAAACATGCCAAATTACTCTTTTGTGGCATAGGAAGGAACCTATTGCTGTTTGGTCTGCGTTATTTCTGGCTCTGGCATCACATTTTCTGATTAAAGAAGTAAGCAGACTGGCAGCCAGTGGAGCTGATGCCCATACCTTGGGAAGTCAGACTTGGCCGTGGTAGTCCACACTCTTGTTACATCCCAAATAGACTGCTGCAACACGCTCTACATGGGGTTACCTTTGAAGACTGTTCAGCAGCTTCAAGTGGTCCAATGGGTGGCTGCCAGACTCTTCACTGGAGTGGTGTGCAGGTAGCGCATCACCCCCCTGTTACGTCAGCTCCACTGGCTGCCAGTCTGTTACCGAGCACAATTCAAAGTGTTGGTTTAGCCTATAAAGCCCTTAATGGTTCTGGTCCAGCTTACCTGTCTGAAAGTATATCAGTCTATGATCCACCTCAGAGGTTAAGATCGTTAGAGGAGGCCCTGCTCTCGGTCCCATCCTCCTCACAAGCACGACTGGTGGGGACGAGAGACAAGGTCTTCTCAGTGGTGGCCCTTCATCTGTGGAACTCCCTTCCCAGTGAAATCAGTTCAGCCCCCTCTCTCCTGACCTTCAGGAAAAAGCTTAAGATGTGGCTTTGGGACCAAGCCTTTGACCAGTAATTGGAGCAGTGCAATAAATGACCATGAATTTATGTGATTGACAAATGGAACAGCCCTGGATTATGATTTGGATTGTGTGATTTTAATTGATGTTTTAACTGCTTGGATTTTAATTGTATTTGTTTATTTTATGGATATATATGTGTATGGCATCAAATTGCTGCCTTTTGTAAGGCTGCCCCAAGTCCCCTTCCAGGTGAGAAGGGTGGAGTACAAATGTGGTAAATAAAATAATAAACATCATAATAATAAATATTTTTATAATGCCGCTTTGAGTCTCCTTGTGGAGAGAAAAAGCAGGGTATTATTATTATTATTATTATTATTATTATTATTATTAAATATCACATCCAGATTTTTAGAGTAGAACCCCCAGTATCATTCAGCATACTCAGTGGGCAGGGATGATGGTGATTGTAGTGAGGCACTATATTGGAAAAGACTGGGATAGTCAGATAAAGATTAATCATATTGAATTGCGTCTTCCTGATTAGTCAAAATAAAGGCAAAAAAAAATACTGTTCAATGCAGATCCAGTTTTTGTCTGAACAAACTCGTGGACATCTTGGAGCAGTTTCTTCGTAGAGACAGGCTGTCGGCTTTGATGTGGGAGGTCTGCAAGCAGCAGACACAGATCGGGAGTCCAGTGTTGCAGGAAGCCACTCTGGGCAGGATCGTGTGCCTGCCAGATCATTTAGCTAACAAGCTCCAAGGAGAAAACCGACCCATCTTCTTCCCCCAGAACTACTTTCCGCTGCTTGGCGTGGCATTGGTCCAGGTGATGGAGAGGATTTTTGATTCGCTGCGAGGTGAGCTTAAAGAACATTGGTGTGCTACACCTGGGCAAACTTGGGCCCTCCCTCCAGGTGTTTTGGACTTCAACCTATCGGCTGTTAGGAATTGTGGGTGTTGAAGTCCAAAACACCTGGAGGGAGGGCCCAAGTTTGCCCATGTCTATGCTACACTGACAAACGGCACTTGTTTAGCTTTTAGCTGGCAACATAGTCGGATAATTTTCAATATGAAACATTCCTGCAAAACATGTTGCTCTGACTGTTTTGTTAGTGAGTGTTTTTCTTTCATTTTAGATGGCTTGGACTGCTCAATCTCCTTTGTGTCCCAGGTGCTAGGGAAAGGATGTGCGCACGGAAGAAAACGTGAGTGCCCTTTGAAACCAATGGTTAAATTTGCTTGTCTTTTTTGAGTATTTCAAAGTGGATGACTACCCCATAAAATTGCCCAAGAGCTGTAACAATTGGGAAATGTTGGTAGAAAGGCAACATAACATGTGTTTGTTTGTTTTATATTTTGCTTTGCTCCCAATTGGGATTCAAGGTGGATCCCAACAAACTTAAGTCAAAACATACAGATGTTATTTCCTGTCCTAATGCAACTCATTTATATGGCTTTGGCCCAGGTTATTTGAAGGGGTCTATCTTTTTATGAGCCTGTTAGAGCATTATGATCATCTGCAAAGGGACTTCTCTCAGTCCCACCACTCAGTCAAATCCATTTGATGGCAACAAGAGAGAGCCTACTTCAATTAACATACTTCTGCCATCAGGCACTTATTATTATTAATTGGTCACAGTAGCGCAGCGGGTTAAACCTCTAGCTGCAAGAAATCTGCTGACTGCAGGGTTAGCAGTTCGAAGCAGCAAGTCGGGATGAGCTCCTGCTGTTAGCCCTAGCTTCTGCCAACCTAGCAGTTTGAAAGCATGCAATGGGAGTAGATCAGTAGGTACTGCCTTGGCAGGAAGGTAAAAGAGTGCCCCACGCAGATATGCCAAGAAAACATAATCAGAGATTTCTATGGACAACAAGCTCCTCAGCATGGAAAAAATGGAACATCAGCCTCTTCCCATGGCTGGAGTTAAACATAGCCTCCAAATGCCAGAGATGAAAGGGGAAGGCCTTTGTCTGTATTGTGTGTCATTGTTCACTGTGTAAAATGCATTGAATATTTGCCTTATATCTGTATACTGTAATCTACTCTGAGTCTCTCTGGGAAGATAAGTGGAATATAAATAAAGTGTATTATTATTATTATTATTATTATTATTATTATTATTATTATTATTTATACCCTGCCTTTCTCCTCATAGGGACTCAAGATGCCTAACAATCCACATTAAACAAGTTTTAAAAGTGCAGTACAAAAATTAAAAAGCAATTAAATAGTAACAGTGTGGTAAAAACAGAATTAAAATACAGTAAAATACATAAAAATGGCCTTTAAAACTCGTATCTCCCACTTAGGGAATGATGAGGGCAGGCTGCTGGGGTTTGAGTGCTTGAGGCTTTGGGGTTGCCTTTAATATTTTTATGTTTAATGTTTTTTATATTTTAATGCATTTACATGATTTCCATTTGCACTGTGTCGTATTTATTGAGTCCCTAATATCAGGAGAAAAGCAGGATAAATATAAAAGCCTCCCACTTGAGAATCTCTTTATTCACAAAACGGGGTCCATTAGCATGGCGATGGACTTCCCTAAATCCTCCAACTGATTCTTTTACACTTGTAAAAAATTAAACTCTTCTGCCCCTGCTTTCCTTTTGTAATTTAATCCCATCTACCAAACTTATTATTTGATTAAGTTTTGTTGTGTTTTAATTCATTTTAGTTAACTATCACAAGAGTTTTAGGACAGTGATTAGTGTCTATTTGTCTGTGTATTTTTTTATTTTTTTGTCTTTTATTGTTGATACGTTCAGGGAAGTAGTAAATAAGCTGATATGTCTATAAAGTAAAATAAATAAGTAACTATATGAATTTTGGTTGTTTGTGATGCAGGAGAGATCTTGAGTGTGTTGGTGCCCCACCTCGCAGACCGTACGCAGTCCGACTGCATCTGGCAGAGAATGTCCTGGCGCTTGGTCGAAAGTGTGCCAGACCGCTGGATGGAAGCTGTCGTTTGTGGCTTTGTTCAGTTAGCAGGCGGGTAAGAATGGATGGTGTGATTTTAATATAGAATGGAATGTTTTAAATTTTTTAATATGCTTTAATTTTAATTTTTGGAATTGTGTTTTTAAGGCATTGAATAATTGCCTCTATGTAAGCCGCATTAAGTCCCCTTCGGGGTAGTGAAAGGTGGGGTATAAATAGTGTAAATAAATAAGAATAAAATAAGAAGATGTCAAGATATTGTGTGATGGAGATATGGAGAGTAATCATTTGTTGCCTCTTTGGTGATAGTTTTGTAAGGGGTTGGGATTTAGTACTACCAGCTGCAGTAAATTTTGGCAGCCAAAAGGTTGATAGCTCAAAGCCTGGGTCAGGCTCCTAGCCTTTACCCCAGCTTCTGCCTACCTAACAGTTCGAAAGCAAAATGTGAGTAGGTAAATAGGTACTGCTTTTAAAAAGCGGGGAGGTATTTAAGGCACCTATAAGAAAATGACAGCAAGATGCCGTTGATTCAGTCAAGGAGGAAGTTTACGAACAAAGGTCTTCAGCAGGGAGATGGAGCAACAGCTGGAACCAAGCACAAGCCTCCAAGATGCCAAAGATGGGAAAAGCCTATTTATACCTCTATTAATGTACAATTCTCTGTCTTGTCAATGGCATTGAATGTTTGCTGTATATGTGTTCTGTGATCCGCCCTGAGTCTCCTTCAGGGTGAGAAGGGCAGAATATAAATACTGTAAATAAATGAATAGTTAAGTTGAGATGTTATCTTCACCTCCCTTTCTGGGTGTGAACTGACATCATTTTGTACTTCTATCGTGACGACCCTCCTGGTTTCTGAATAAGCTTGTCACCAAATCACCTTCTGATGTATATCGGTGCTGATGAGAAAGTGAAAAGCTGAAGTCATATTGTTGTCTGCATTAATGACTAGGTCTGCCGCGTTGGTTCGGCTGCTGGGGAACTTGGTTCTCAAGAGCAAGAAGGCGCAATTTGTGATGACCCAGAAACTGCTGTTCTTCCAGTACAACTACCCAGTGCGTATTCTAGGGGTCAATGGGAGAGGATCATGAGCAAGGATGTGACTGAGATCTGGATTTCCTTCTTGGAATTTTTTAATTTTTTTAATTGGATTGTATAAGTAGAGTATAATTTGTTGCCATTATATTATAGAAGTGTGAAAGAAACAAAATCAACCAATACCCTTCTGGTACAGCTCAGTTTCTACTCCTTTCTAATTCCGTGTTCATCTCCTAATACCTATCACATGATGATGATGATTGTTATTATTATTATTATTATTATAATTTGATACACAACAAAATTGGTACACAGCAAACAAGATCACACGACGGAAACTTTCCAAGTGTCTAGAACTGTGTGATGTATCGGCGAATAACTCATGCAGATCCCAGTAGGGTGGCCTTTTGCAGCTGACAGATGGTAATTTTGTCAGCGTCGATTGTTTTTAAGTGCAGGCCAAGGTCTTTACGCACTGCACCAGTGTGCTGATCGCCACTGGGACCGCCTTTACTGGCTTATGCTAGTCAATTATTATTATTATTATTATTATTATTAGTAGTAGTAGTAGTAGTAGTAGTAGTAGAAGTGTTACAGCCCCCACCACCCCATGAGAACAGTTGGGATTCAATTTCAGCTTTTATTCTATTTATTGGATCATGGAGATAGTCTGATTTTGTTCCTTGTATTTTCTTCTTCTCTTCGCTTTTGCTATCAGTTCTTTCCATTTCGAGACCCAGTTCTCCCCATAGGATATTCATTTATATATTTATTTATTTTTCCTTTCAATCATATAATCCTGGAGCATATAGTCTGCTAAATATTCGTACCATTTTTTTATTTCCCATTTTTTGTACTTTTCCACCCCAGCGCAAGTGTTGCTTGTGCCGCTCCTGTTATATATTTTATAATACTTGTCCAATCTATATTACAACCCTTTCCTTCCATTTTCATGGTAAAAAACAAGTTTTTTTAAAAATTGTGCTCTATTTTAGCCCAGATATTTCTTCCATTTCATCCTTTCTTTTCCTATAAAACTTTTATACCTTGTCACAGTCCCATCACATGTGTGTAAAGGTTCCTGTTTTACCATATTTATGCCAACATATTTTTTGTTGATTTGCTGTGAGTTTTGCAGGCTGTATGACCAAGTTCCAGAAGCATTCTCTCCTGACGTTTCACCCACATCTATAGCAGGCATAGATGTGGGTGAAACATCAGGAGAGAATGCTTCTGGAACATGGCCATACAGCCTGCAAAACTCACAGCAACCCAGTGATTCCAGGAATGAAACCCTTCGACAACACATAATTATTATTGTGCTTTTGGTTATATGGGCTAATTAGTAAGGGGTTGTATGCCATTTTGTCAGCATTTTCCATTGTATTTCCTTCATCCTTAGATGTTTATGTTTTTAATTGAATTGATCCACAAAGCAGTGTCCTTCTGATTACTATTTACTTCCTCTTTCCATACTTCAAACAGTGTATGTTTCAAATCGTATTATTTTTCTACTAATTTATCTATATATATAAAAATGCTCTGTGCATAATGAGTTCCTTAAAAACAAAAGAACCAATGAACGAAATCACGCCAAATTTGGCAACAAAATGTCTCACAACACAAGGAATGACCATCACTCAAAAAATTAGGATTTTGTCATTTGGGAGTTGTAGTTGCTGGAATTTATCGTTCACCTACAATCAAAGAGCATTCTGAACTCCATCAATGAGGGAATTGAATCAAACTTGGCACAAGAACTCCCATGACCCACAGACTACACTAGAAGGGTTTGGTGGGCACTGACCTTGAGTTTTGGAGTTGTAGTTCACCTACATCCAGAGAGCACTGTGGACTCAAACAATGATGGATCTGGACAAAACTTGGCACAAGCACTCAATACGCCCAAATATGAAAACAGATGGAGTTTGGGGGAAATAGAATCTTCACATTTGAGAGTTGTAGTTACTGGGATTTATAGTTCACCTACAATCAAAGAGCATTCTGAACCCCACAAACGACAGAATCAGGGCAAACTTCCCACACAGAACCCATCATAACAGCAGAAAATACTTTAGGCCATCCAATCCAACTCCCTTCATCAGGGCAAGAAAACGTAATCAAAGTCCTCCTGACAAAGAGCCATCCAGCCATAGATATAGATAGATAGAGAGAGAGATGATTCACGCACACAGAGAGATAGTATCACAGATTTGAAAGGGACCCCTAAAGAAGGACAATTATATGTTGCCTGTTCCAGAGTAGGCAAACCAGACAATCTCCACATCAACACTGACCCATAAGCAACAAGGAATACTGTTTACCCACAAGCATAAAGGAATTACATATATTAGAAACCATTACTTTATTTTCCAGATCACCAGACTGGGCCACAGCAACGCGTGGCAGGGGACAGCTAGTTATATATATGGATCTTGCTTGGAAATTAAAAATCCAAGGTCTCCCAATACCTCAGCTGTGAAGTGTATATTAAGACCTCTGGTTGTGATCAAGTCTGCTGTTATGCAATAACATTCTAGTGGTTGACTCCCTCTGTGCATGAGTATGTGTCTGTATGTCTGCACATTCTAGTGTATGCCAAACTATTATATGCTGTGGTTTTGTTACAGACGGCGGTGTTGCAGACACTCCTTGGATACTTGGCCCTGGAAAGCATGCGGCGTCCTTTACTAATCAAGGTAAGTGGGCAAAGGCTAAACCAAATAAACCAGAGGCTGGCTGATATGTAATAAACACATAATCATGAAGAACAGAGAATCATCTCGAGCTCTGAGGATTACGTGGGAATGAATCCCACTGGAGCTTTGCAGCACACCAAAATAACTTGGAGCTACCCTGGACCGTGCTTTGGCTTAAATATCAAGCAAAAAATGGGTGCTAGAAATAACATCATATGAAAGCTGACTGGCACAACCTGGGGATCACAACCAGACACAGTGAAGACATCTGCCCTTGAACTTTGCTACTGAATACCCATGCCTAGTGTGGAATACATCGCACCACATTAAACAGTGGATGTGGTTCTTAACAAGACATGCCACATTATCACAGGATGCCTACACCCAACACTACTGGAGAAATTATACTGTTTAGCCTGTATTGCACCACCTGACATCCGTCAGGAAGTAGCGGCCAGTAATGAAAGGACCAAGACATTGATTATGATTCTCTGCACATTGCACTCACCCTGAAATCCGACATACCACCTGTCACACCAGCACTTTTTTAATCTGTAACCATTACTTGGCCCGGCCCTAGTTTTTATTGTGTTATAGTGTACTGTTTTGTTGTTTTATTGTTTCGCTTTAATGTTTTTGATTTCGCTTTCGGTTGTATTTGTTATGTTATTGTTTGTTGAGGCCTTGGCCTTTGTAAGCCGCATCGAGTCCTTCGGGAGATGCTAGCGGGGTACAAATAAAGTTTAATAATAATAATAATAATAATAATAATAGACGCTTGGGAAGTGTTCGACTTGTGATTCTGTGGTACGAAATCCAGCATATAGATCTCATTTGCTGTGACATACTGTGGTTTTGTGTCAGAATAATAATAATAATAATAATAATAGAGTATGTGAGAGTTTGGTGTTGCAGCTCTCAGCTACTACTCACCCATTGTATCAAGTCCAAATAGACAGCGGAATTTTGCCATGGTAATGAAAGAACTAAGGGCCAACGGCAAGAAACCAATTCAGCCTTTCTTACCTTGCCTGTTGCTTATTATTTCTTCCTCTTTCAAGTGAGAGAGGCAGATCAATATCGCTTTGCTGATGTACAGCCGCTGCTCCACAGTGGAGTGCTTCATAGCACTGCTGCTTCCCCAGACCTCGAGCAACTCTTTAAACACCTACATAGGACAGAAAGCAGTGGGTTCAACAAACCATTTCCTTGTTCCAAGAAGAATGCAACTATTGTCAATTCATCTATTTTTTAGCTGCTGCATCACACTTTTGTTGCATGTTCTGCTTGGAGTCTTCTAAATCCATTCACGTTTACAGTTGTCAAGCCAGATGGCAATTTATTCTTCTGTATTTTTGCATTTCCTTTTTTTCTAACTAAATGTACAATCTTAACTTTTTTCCCCCTGTTGGAACTCATTGGTAATGAAACGCCTTCAATGTTCAGGCTCAGAGGGGACTCATACTCCTATTGTTCCATGATCCTAGGTATATGGCCAAGCATTTTTCAAAGCTTGTTTCTAGGAAAATAAAGAGTAAAAAAGTAGGCATGTGAATGTAAAGGTTTTCCCTTGACATTAAGTCTAGCCATGTCCAACCCTGGGGGGGGGGGGGGGGGGGGGGTGATGCTCATCTCCATTTCTAAGCCAAAGAACCAGCATTGTCCATAGACACCTCTAAGGTCATATGGCCAGCATGACTGCATGGAGCACCGTTAACTTCCCGCAGAAGCGGTACACATTGAGCTACTCACATTTGCATGTTTTCGAATTGCTAGGTTGGCAGAAACTGGGCCTAACAGTGGGAGCTCAACCCACTCCCCGGATTCGAACCACCAACCTTTCGGTCAGCAAGTTCAGCAGCTCAGCAGTTTAACCCAATGTGCCACCAGGGGCCCTATGTGAATGTAAGCCATTCAAAATCTGTCAATCCCTAACCTAGAGTGTTAAAAGTGAACCACAGATTGAGAATCAACAACATCGAGTAAAGTCAGTGAGATTAGCTTCTCTTTCATCTTAATTTCATGATTATTTATTTATCATGTCAGAAGCAAATTGAGGGTACAGTTATAATGTATTAAAAAAACAAGTTTAAAACTTGGCATTACACTAGACTTCCTTTGACCAGAAGCTGGCCACTTGGAGTGCCTCTGGTATCGCTGTGAGAAGGTCCTCCATTTTGCATGTGGCAGGGTTTAGATTGCATTATTATTATTTATTATTATTATTAACTTTATTTGTACCCCGCTAGCATCTCCCGAAGGACTCGATGCGG